TAATAATAAGAAACGACACAATTACAATAGGCCTTCGCAGCGCTTTGCTGCTCGGGCCTAATAATGTCAGCACTGTATGTTTCCAAACAGTCTCTGCATTTAACCCATCCACCACCAGGTGGTGCAGTGGGCAGCTATTGAAAGCACCCGGGAGGCATTTGGGGATAAGGTGTGCTGCCCAGAGACACCACAAGGTGTGCAGTAACCAGGGATCAAACCTGGGACTTTCGGGGTCCCGAGCCAGCTGCCCTGCCTCTACACCATCTTTAGACAGGCTCAGTGGGATTAACCTGTCTAAATAAAGATTGAATGAATAATACACACGACGGGTCAGCAGTGACGCAAACACATGCAACATATTTTTTTATGCTTTTTTTTTTTTTTGGACTAATGCGACTTATACGCCAGAAAATACGGTAAATATATATAAAAAAAAAAGAATTGACAAAATCAAAACATTTATTTTTATGATTTGCATGAAATAGATCCAACCCGTTTCATTTCTTTGTAAAATTTCAGACTTCTATTATCCACTGTTATTCTGCACCTTTAATGCAAATTTTCTCCTTTCTGATGTTACCACAGCCCAGTGTGGAGCAGAGAGCTGCTATAGGGTGCCCATGGGAGCAGATGGTGGGGTTAAGGGCCTTGCTCAAGGGCTCAGAGTGGGGCAAATGAAGGTGGAGGCAGGTATCGGTGCTTCACCTTTCCCACATTTAATGTTGGTCCGGGGACTCAAACTGGCGACCTTCCGTTCACAGACTTCCTTTCTCTAACCTCTGTGCCACCACATATAGTGCAAACAAGTCAAATAGTGTGCATTATGCACCACCTACAGCACCATGAATAAAAAAAATATCTTTATTAAAATCTTTTCACGAAAACCACAATGAGATTATTGCAACCAAACAACACTTTGATAGCTTAAATTAAGCTGAAGAGTCTCAATAGTCTGAAATGAAAATTAAAAAAAAAAATCCCACGTCATTTTAACACTTCAAGTTCGCTGATTTTATTGAAAAAAAAAATCCCTTTTAATCCCAGAGAACCTGAATTATTAGTCAAATTACGCTTCGTTAACATTCAATCATCATACAGTTACTAAATGCAACATATTTTTCACACAAATCATTCGCACATGAAAGTCACATAGAAGTGAAGAGTTAGTAAAAACAAAAAAAAACCTCCAGTAGTTTGTAGTATTGCCACTATTGCTGTATCTGGTAAACTTCAGTGAAAAAAAAAAAAAAATCAAAGATGTTTTAAATATTCACAAGTCAAACAGTAATTATGACAAACATATATATATATATTTAAGGCGTATTCAGTTCATTTCTGTATAATCATACATAATTAATCTTAGCCCTTTAGGGAGAGGAAATGAGAAAGCAGAACAAGTCGAGTGTTGATGCTTCATCGGTCGACGGTACTCAGCCGGTCCAGGTCGGTGCGTTTAAATTCAATATTTCCAGGAAAACATGAGCAACGGGTTATAAAGTTTGGAGTGGTGTTTGTGGTAAACCTAAAGGATGACCGTCGTCTGTTTCAGCATCAACATGTGACCTTTAACCTTTCACAGAGCTCGTCTACAACCTGCCAGTTCACATCGGACACTTCATTGGAGTTTGAGGTTTTAAAGGTCATTCGTTTTATTGTCTTTTGCAATTTAAAGCTGTAATTCGTGTCAAATGAAGCATTTAATAAATACAAAGACAAGTTGTTCAAATAAAAACTGATTAGTTTGATATTAGAGGTTTTGGTGACTCTTTATTAATTAATGTTAAACTAAATCCATGCCTTTAAGTTTAAAGCAGATAAAAATGCTTTGTTTCCCCAAAATATGAAAAACTTTTGGTTTTTAGATCAAATGAGCAGGAAATGCTTCTTAGATGTAAAATTAAAATTCAATTTCTAAAAACATGCATTGATGCTCAAATTAAAAACTGATTGGCTTCTCCAAAAAGAATTTTAAAAGAAACTGATTCTTTTTTTTTGTTTTTTTTGGTTTCTAGTGTTGGGTCGGTTGAATTGTTCCTTCTTGAGCAGCTTTAATCAGAAGTGGTAACTTTGTCGAGGCTGCAGCGGCTCTGGGTCGAGGGTCTCTCCTCCTCGTGGTGGTCATCGTCTGCTTTCAGGAGCGGGGAGAAATCTGCGTCTCCCCCTGCCTCCTCCCGCCGGGCAAGCCGTCAGTCACGGTGGGCGTTGCTCGGCGGCGTGATGCTGAACACCCGGATGCGCAAGTGGGAGGCGATCTGGAGGCACACGCCTGCGCAGTAGCGCATCAGATCCAGAAAAGAGAGGACCTGAAGAGGAAAAATGTTACAACAACAAATTTCAAATCAGATAATTGCTACATAAGGATCCTTCTGGTTAAATAGTTTTTTTTCCTCCATAGTGGGGTTGTGTGGAGTACCTATGATAAGTCAGTATCTAACCTGCAGAAGGCAGCAGTTCATAACCTCAGTTTGGAGTATCAGGAAGAAATATGGAGACTTTAAGGCTGTTACTTATATCGGAATCCATTCAAGAGCAAATTTTAATCTAAAGTTGTTCACGTTTGTCCCATTTTTATAAACTGAACGTTTTAATTGCTTCGTGTACACGTGAAAAACGCTGCTGCACGACTCCACACACAAACCTGCCACATGTCAAACTTCCCCTGACCTAACATCAAAACAGAAACTACGGAAAGTAAAACTGCGTAATTACTAACGCTAAGACAACAAGTCTTTTCTGGGAGGAAGGATTTCTGTATGAGTTTGATTGTAAGAAGATCGAAGCGATAAGCTAGAGATGTGTTCCCCATTTCTAGTCATCGTGACCCACTCATGTTTTAGGCCTAGAGTACGCAACTATTATTTTTCTAAACACGTATTTTTACTCTGGTTAAAAAAATTTAAATGAAAGCGTATACGGTAGTCCCTCGATCCTTCATGGTTCGACTTTTGCAGACTCACTCTTTCGCAGGTTTTCAAAGCAAGATTGTACACATTGTTTCCCGGTGGCCTGGCCCGCTCAGTGATCACAGAGGGGCCCCCTCCTTTCTTTTTCTGAGGATGTCTGTTACAGCAGAGCAGAGACTCAGGTGCACAACCTGTGACAAACAGCTTCAGAAAGAGAAAGGAAGGGGCGGGGGGTTTATCTTTCCCCATCACTGCTGTGGGAGCTTCAGTGAGGTGGATACCAGAGTGAGCGGTATGGATTGTTTATTTAAAATAAACAAGCGCGACTCGAACCAAGCCTTAACTCGAACTGAGTCGACCCGAACCGAGTCGGGGTTCGGGAAATGTCCCGGTGCTCCCAATGGCCGGTCCGGTCGCTGATTTGCTCAGCAACCGTAGCATTAGTCAGTCTGCTCTCTTTCGCTGCGCTCTTTTAGAGCATTTAGAACATTGTTAAGAATACTGCAAGAGTGTGGGAAGAGTTTATACAGCCTTAAAATATATAAATACTAAAATAATATAACGTCCCTACTTTGAGGATTTTCACCTATTGTAGGGGTGTCTGGAACGCGACAAGTGAGGGACCACTACTGTATTTTAAAACATCTAAAAACGACACAAGTACCGGTAGGTGGGGCTACATCCACAATGAAAAAATAAATTAAAAAAAGGAAGAAAAAACAATCTGATCAGTCTGACAGGGCGGAAAACGGTCGGGGAAACACTGATCAATTCTAACGACACTCCCTCAACTCATTTAGGATTTAAAAAACCTTAAAACTTAAGGTTCTCTTACAACCATTTTAAATCCAATGAAGTGTGCAAACTCATCAAAAAAAGATCACCGTTAGCATAAACAAGGTTTAAGGTGTTTTTCTGCTCAGATACACTCGATTTAAACGAGTCATAAACAGGCTTCTGGTGAACTTTATCGCAGTCGGCTGCTAAAAGATGCAGCGCAGTGGGTTTCCAAGCAGCAACCTAAACAACTCTTTAACAAAAGCTACGAGATGTAAAAATCTAAACCTGTTAAGTTTTTGTGCAGGGAAAGTTGTACATTTGTTGTTTTAGAGGGTGGAACTTTGCACTCAAATGGATTTTGGATTAGCTGACAAATGGAAACAACCAACCAGATCGCGCTTTCCGCCATCTACTGCAGGTAAGACAGCAACTACTCATGATTAATCCAATTTAAGAGCGATTTGTAGAATAGCTTGAAAGATTAAACTTGCAAAGATCTGCTTTAGTCCCACAACAAAAACTGTAAAGACAACTCTCACATACGGCATTGAGCAAACCCAGCAGCAAAAAGCAAAAAGTTACTAATTATTTGACGCATTTGTTTGATGCTGACCATGGCGATCCAGAGGACGATGTGTTCATCAATGAAGCTGTTAAAGTACTGGTTGAGGAAGAGGAGGCCTGGCCCGATAAAAGCTGTGTCTGGAAGGTATAACTCACTCCTGGTCATGTGTGCAATCTGCAAATAAAAAAACAACAAAATAAAACAAGTTATAAGCATTCAGTCACAATCAAATACAAAAAAAAAAAAAGACCATACAAAGGTTAGAAATAGAAGCGTTTTTGAGTTAAGACAATTCTTTTGGAGAATTTCAAACAATTCAGACGTACCACCAGCTTGTTGGCGATCTTTGAGGCGACCATGCCGAAGGTGAGCAGGTAGAGGCAGGGGTGGTGCTCAAATAAATGGCTGGACGACTTCTTGAAAATGATGAAACCCAGCATCATGATGAGGCCAATGTGCAAACCAGGACTCAGCACGCTGGTGTCCTAAACACAATCGTTTAGACAAATAGTCATGTATTATTTTTCGGACTATAAAGGTGCACTTAAAATCCTTTAAATTTTCTTAAAAATCGACAGTGAGCCTTATAATCCTTGACCTCAAACTGATTTTATGTGGTACACGACGCTCATAAATATGAATTTGCTTCTCTTATAATCCGATGCGCCTTATAGTCCGAAAAGAACGGTAATTGAACATTTTCCAACTCCTGCCGAGATACTTACGGCCACAGTGGAGCCGTTCTTGCCAACTCCTCCGTTCAAAATCACATAGAAGTAGTTGTAGCAGGAGTACAGGGCGCCCCCGATGATGCCCATGATGGGGAAGGCGTACAGCTGCAGTCCAATTACGGGCAACTATGGAAACACAGAAGGCTCAAATTGAAACAGGAGACCAAAACTTCCAAAACGGGAAAAGTTCCTTATAAAAGGAGCTGCATGCTGAGCGTGATGGGAGCGCAAAGCAAAATGAATAAATAAAAAATATGCAGAGGACATCATCAGCTTTTTTGAGCCAGATCATGTCCAATAGATGACCTGTTGCCATGGCTTCGACTACCCATATTTACCTTCTCACTTCTCTCATGTGATGTAAAGTCAAGCCTCCAAAGGCAGCACAGAGTAAAAGTAAAACACAAATTCTATTTAAAGACAACTACAACTAGAAATTGTCCATTTGTTCTTCACTCAGGTGGAATGAAAATGTCCCTGTGAGTAGTGTTGTTGCGTGTGAGGGGGGGCGAAACGGGTCAGTCCCGGTTACCGAAGTTTGCCAAAGGCTCACGCCTCCGAAGGCAGACATCAGGTACATGATCATGATGGCAAACTGCACCTCCGTGACGTCAACCCTGCGTAAAGATTCAAGACAGGCTTTAATTCAGGTGTTCAGTCAGAAGAGCAGAGCATTACTTGTAGGAAATTGGAGGGGGAAAGGGCGTTTAGGATAAGTCGGTGTGCTTACAGCCCAAAGCGAAGCGTCCCTGATACGTAAGTCTGCCAATGAGCGCAGAAGAACATGAACATCCCAATAAATCCACAGAACCAGATCCAGTTTGGGTACTTTCCTATTCCACATGAAATGCATGTTCCCACGGAAACAAAAACTGAAAAGTAAAGAGGGAAAGGGCACAAAAATCAGAAATGTACAGGTTCCCCTAAAGAATTTGCGCCCTCCGTCTCGGGGAAAGCAAAGCAGGAAAAGCTGATCTAAACGACAACAGCTTCAAATAAACACGTTTTAATTAATTTATCTTATTTACAATAAAGGCATTTATTCTTGCGCTGACCTACAAGCTGAACAATGTAGCTGTGTCAAAACCACTAATTATTTCCATCGTACTGTTCCTGTAGTTTAAAACGCCTTTATTATTGTTGCCCCCTTAAAGTTACAAGTAGCACCGAGCAGCGCTCCAACCTGCTGCTTTGAGCGTTCAGTCAGTTGCAGCCGTGGGGGAAATTCCTCTAATTTTTATACTATTAAAAAAAAAAAACTTGTTGGTTTTATATTTTATCCAGTGGAAAACACAGTCAGTCATGGCTCGTCTACCAGAAAGGCATAACCCACCTCTCTTTTCAAGCCAACGCTGTTTTGAAACAAATGTTTGCGACAAGCTACACTTAGCATTTTGAGGCTAATAACCAGCTAATTATTAATACATCATCATCAGGCTCTAAAAGTTACTTAACACCAGAACAGCACCGAGGACACAATATAGGCACGTTTTAGAAATAAAAATGTTTAGAATGATAAATAAACTATAAATTAACATCACTTTAACCACCTGTTGACTGTGGTGTTTTAGCCGACACCATATACAAATTTATTCCCAACAGATGTGAATAAAATCAAAGCGGAAACGTTCATTTACAGGAAATATCGTAAATAAAAATGCAATGAATAAAACTGCTGGTGTCATATTAAGTTAAATTCGGTGCCGAGTATGACTTTAAACAGACTTTCAACATGTTCACTACTTGTTTTTTTTATTTTTATGATTTATATCTGTGCATTAAAATGACAATTCTTTTTTTTAATGTTATTACAATATCATACCTGTAAAAAAGAAAAGAAAAAAAAAAAGTGATTATTTAGGAAGCAAATGTAAGTATTTGCATTTTTGTTTTTAAATAAAAGCAAATCACGCGATGCATTTTTCATTTTGTGTTTTAGTACAGTGAATATGTGAAACTGGTATTTTTGCTCGAGGTAATTGTACTGCCAGAATCCTCCATTCGCTCGTGTCTCAGCTCTACTGATGGATGTTACTATCTAGTACTTAATGACCAGAGCAGCAGAGCTTGTGTGCAGTACCTGTGGAGACGGCGTCACAGCCGTGGTCAAAGAGTTCCCCGAGGGGTGAGCTGCTGTTTGTTCTCCTGGCCTGTTTCCCATCAATAGCATCCAGAGACTGATAGATGAAGAGGCCCAGAGCAGACAGGATGAAGGCCCATGATGGAGCCTGAGGTGGAGGAACAGAAGTTTAAATTTACTTATAAAAAAAAAGATATTTGCCAATATATGTATCACCAGAAAATCAATCGTCACTCGCTATTAAAGGCGATGCTGCACATGTGTGTTTGTCTGTGTGGCGTTTGCAAAATATCTCGTGAATCAGTGGACGAAGTTTAACAAAGCTCGCTTGTTTGCTTACTGGATACAAATCTACTTTTAGGGTCAATCCAATCCTAAGCGGCCGTCGCAGATAATTAATAGCAGACATAAATTGTGTGAGTTGGTCACTTTACAGATGGGGAGATCAAATTTGATGTGGTAGTAGCCGAGAGTCCTTCACAACACACTCTGGGAGCAGGTTTTCAAACGCACTTGAGGTCATTTTAAAGGTTTGACTAAAACAGCTATAACTTAGTCGTAAATCGTAGTTTGGTGGCAGGTGATGTGCATTCCTTCAGGAAATGCTATGACTTGAGTTTAAATTATTTCTGACCTGTTTGTTAGTTTGGGTGAATCTTGTTCTGCTGATACAATCAAGAACGTCTTCATGAGATGAAAATGGTTATGGGGTTGGTTGATGAAACTATTAAAAGTAGGCGTTTCTGTTGCGTCTATGGACACATTACACAACTAGAAGACGTACAGTTTCGTCCCGCTTTGCTTTAAATCTGTTTGTAGTGAGAATAAAAATGGACTTGATTTTGCGCACGTCTGTTTAAGTCACATACGTCTAGATATGCGTGTTTTTCTTCCTACTATGATACGCTTGGCATTGCGTCTATGTACTATTGAATTCACGTTTGTTTGAAGAAGGGATTTGGGTGAACCTGTGCTGCTAGAGTGAAGGTTATGGACACAACTGCACACTAGGACAACACATTTGTTTACTGTTGCAACAACAAATGAGATTTGTTCCCTGAGGAACCACAAATCCTATGTTTTTTCCCAAAGGAAGATAATAAACTGTAATAAACCCACACAAGCAACATCCAGCCTCAGGGACATATTTAGTTTATTGCAAAGCTTACTTAATCAGGAGCTTTGAGCTGCAGCAGGGTTCAGATGGTATCAGCAAATTGCATGGACTTTGATTCAGCTCCACTGTTATTTCTCATGGCTGGATGGAACAAAGGTGCTCATCTGATACAGCATGTGAGAGGTGTGCACCTGCACAGTTCTACCATCAACCCTTGGCTCAGTTCAGAGTTGTAAGGCCTATTCCTGTATTATGGGCACGTGCAGTCCTCTCAGGATCTATATGCTGAGTTTTATTTACTCAATGTTGCTAAGTGATTAGCTTCTAAACCGATGTGGCCTGAAATCGGATCATCTTGAAATAAAAAAAAAGCTACTTTGACATGACTACATTGCTTCACATAAGGGCGGATGTACAAGCTAAACTTTTTAAGGACCAGGAGCATACCCTAATGATAGTTATTGAAATGATGCGACAACTTTGTCTCAGTTTTGTGAGGTCAATCAAACGTGGTACATTACTGTCAACACAGGATGACAGTAACTTTCTCTTTAATTCGGCTTGGGTTTCTCAGTAAAACACAACTGTCAAGTTGTTGAATTTCCAAAAAGAAATTATCAACAGCGCATTAGCCTAGCTTCATGACACATGGAAGTAACGTGAATTTATTTTCTTACACAACAAAATTTGAAACTCAAATCTATGCCGAATTAACAAATAGATTATAACAATTCATATAAAGATTTACTTATTGGCGTTTACTGGATTAGGGCTTTACAAGGGAAGCGAATAGTTATCTTCAGCGATTTCTGCAGGCAGGTTGGCGTTTCGTCTGAGCCAGAAATGGACACACAATTAGCCGCTCGTCTCCGTGTGGAAACTTCAGCCAAGATCGCTATACTCACCTCTTCTGTTGCTGTGGGGCAATAATACACAAGCACCACCGTGGACAGGATGTTGACTAAGAGTCCAACAATAGTCAGTGTGTTTGGAGCGATCCATGTCGGTATTTGCTGGACCAGCCAGTTCCAATAAATCTGACACGGTGGCTCAAATAGGGAGCGACCCGAGGCGCTGTATTTATGCTCCTCTAGTCGCTTGAGTTGTGCGGGTGACAGCGGCTCGGGCCACAAGAAATGTGGCATTATTTTTTCCCAGTATCGTCCCTCGTCGAAGTACCTTAAAAACAAACCAGTTCTCCCGGGTGGTAACTCGGAAGTGCCTGTATAGTCTCTCTAAAAAGATGGCATATTAAGCCACAAGGACGAGGCCATTTCTGCAGCGGAACTAAAAGTTGTCGAGCAATAGTCCGGACGGTTAAGATTGACGCGCATTTGTGCCGGAAATGAAGGTAGCTGTCTCCCGGGAAGTTTAAATCTACATGGACTGCTTTTTCTCCATTACTGTACTTCAGGCTCAGCAGTCTCAGGTGAATTTAGAAAAATGCTTAAAAATCGACTAAAACCAAACGTTGTTCGTGGCTGTCTGTTTTAAACATTGTAATAAAATTAGGGTGTAAACATGGTCAACCATAGCACAGTAACCGACCGGCTGTCATCTTGGCGTCCTTAGTTTCTGGCAGTAAGTGGACGTACGAGGAGAACAATAATGAAACTGAGCCAAAAAGTTTAAGGTTTTAACAATAATGGTAATAATTTTCAGAACTTGAACCTCAAAGAATTATTTACTTTATTTTTATTTCGTCTGCACGTTTTCAGTTAAACTATTTCCGCATACTTTGTGCTGTTTTATTCACTCTTATGTCAAAACACACATTCAGCTTGATCAATAATTGGTATGACTTTTGTTTTTGGTAATTTTTTATATTTTTATACTAATGATTTTACAAATTATTAAACTTTATTTAAAATAGAATTGCATTAATATCTCTAATTCCCTCAAAAACTTAATCTTATTCTTATTCTACCACTTGCAAGGACTATACTGTTTCCTCTGCAACAGGTCCAGGAGAGAAACCCAAACATCCCTCTCTCCAGCACTTTCTAGTTTGTTCTGGGGGACCCCAAGGCGTTCCCAGGCCAAAGAAGATACACACTCCCTCCAGCGTTTTCTGGGTCTTCCCCAGGGCCTCCTAACAGTGATACATGTTGGAAAACCTCTAAAGGGGGCATGCGTGAGGCATCCTAATTAGATGCCTGAACCACTTCAACGGACTTGTTTTGATGCAGAGGAGCAGCGGCTCTACCCCGAGCTCCTCGCTGGTTGACAGATCTCTTCACTCTATCCCTAAAGATGGCCACCCTGTGAAAGAAGCCCATTTCGACTGCTTGTATTCAGGATCTTGTTCTTTCAGTCATGATCCAAACCTCATGACCATAGGTGAGGGACGGAACGAAGACAGACTAGTAAATCGAGAACTTTGCTTTTTGACTCAACTCTTTCTTCACCATGACGGACTGAAGCAATGCCCTCATTACTGAGGACAAGGCCCCAATCCGTCGAGCCATCTCCCGCTCCATCCTACCATCACTTGTGAACAAGACGACCAGATACTTAAACTCCTTCACTTAAGGCAAAGTCTCCCCCCACCGACCCGGAGGGAGCCTTCCATTTGTTTCTGGTTTAGAACCATGGCGTCAGACTAACCGACTCTCATTCTAGCCGTTTCACACTCAGCTGTGAACCACCCAGTGCACGCTGAAGGTCTTGTCTTGAATACCCCTACAGAACCACATACGAGATCCTGAGGTTCTCATACCAGACACCCTCCTCTCCTTGATTGCATCTTGAGATCCTGTCCAAGAAAACGACAAACAGGATCGAAGACAAGGTACAGCTCTGGTGGAGTCCAACCTGCACCGGGAACAAGCTTGACTTTGTGCCAAGAATGTGGACACAGCTCCTGCTTTGGTCAAAAGGACAATATAGCCCTTAAAAGCAAACCAGGCTCCCCATACTTTTGCAGCACCCACCAAAGAATGCTTTAAGGAACATGGTCATAAGCCTTCTCTCCAAACTCCTCAAATCCATTGTTTAAAATCTGCTTCAGCATATTGGCTTTTTTTTTTGTTTGTTTTGTTTGTTTTTGTCTCTTTTAATGCTACTTTTAGCTACAGTTTTACCCTTTTTTCACTGCACTTTTGCTATTTTTGCTACTGTAATGCTGATTGGGCAGCTCAGGAAGTAGGAAAAAGTCCAGGATTTGGATTTCGAATCCCAAGCTGTGTGGAGATGTGAGCCCAGCTGGATCTAGTTGGTATCGCTCAATCTCACACAAGGCTCTGGCTCCTTACCCACCAGTAAAGTGACATTTCACATCTTTAGAGTTAGTTTTGCCACTAGGAATCAATACACCTAGGGGTCCTCCCTTCCCTGCTGCCCAGCCTGCTATGCCCAGTGGGCTCTGGTGAGCCCATGACCCACCCAGGTTGCCTCTCAACCTCGAAGGTCCTTCTCACAATTGGTGGAGGTGGCATCCTGTGTCATTTTTGGACAAAGCCCAGCTTAAGAGCCAAAGTCTGAACCAACAAGCACTTGCTAGTGAGCTCTGCTGCCAGTGCATAGCCCCTTCTTTAAATTTATTTTCAAAAGTTTTTAGACTCTACCATTACTACCGGTACTTCTTCTTTTTCTTTCGGCTTTTCCCTCTTCACCACAGCGAGTCCTCCTCCTCCATTTCACTCTGACTCTACCATTACTGTAGTTCGAAAATTGTATTAAGTTTCATCTACAACATATCTTTGTTTTATATACGGTAAATCCACACACGAGGAGCACTCCGGAGAGGAACAAGAACAAATATTCAATTTTATGTTTATTATAATCACAGTTCATACTTACAAAGAGTGAAGGCATGCACCTTGATGAAATCTCAGTCCATTATAAATCACAGGATCTAAATGTGTCATGCAGACTGTGGACTCAGAATAAACATCTACATTTTCTGACTTATTAGCCCAAAAATCCTACAGGAAAAGTAAAATGTTGATTTCAACTAAAACGATCAGCACGCTTTTCCCCTTAACTTTCCTCAGTCCTGTTTTGTGTTGTAAAGAGGTACATTGACACTGTACCAACAATACTGTGTGATTTATACATTCTCTTTCCGTTTCAATAAGTTACTAGAGAAAATATATATATTTTCACCAACCTTTACCAACAAAAATTCACATGTAAATACCACATGTGCCTTTACTTTAACACACGTTTCTATTAAATCTAAATACAAAATGCTGCCAACATGCATCTGGGCTTGTAAAGTCTTTCTAATAGTGATAAAAAGAGTTGAACTGTTTTTTATAGTGCACACAGCATGCCACACCACTGACCAGTACACCCCATCCCTATGTCCCACCATCCCTCCAGCTTTAATCAGTCTGCAGATCTCAAAAAGGCGATATAAATAGATCACTATTGGTGGCTGATGTCTGCAAAGCCCAAGGATCTCACTGCGCTACATTCATTTTTGCTTTTCTTGATCAACAATTTTCGCCTCATTCATGTACTTTTCAATCAGGTGCAGGGGTACTCCACGTCGCATGAGCTCGTAGAAGGTGAAGCCTCCTAAAAGACAAAATGAGAGAGTTATATTGTTGTCAGGAAAGGTACAGGCATATTTTGGATAAGGAGAAGTTGTGAAAAGCTGAACAGCAACAGATTTGGCAGAGTAAGACTATAGATCAGGAGCTCTCAACTAGGGCTGGGCGATATGGACCAAAATTAATATCACGATATTTTAGATGAATGGCGATATACGATATATATCTTGATTTTTTTTCTTTCTTTCCATAAAGTAATAACAAAAATATATTTGAGTCAAAGCTTTGTCCCAATTGTCACACAAGCACATATAGTAAACAGATGTAACTGTACAAAATAAATGTTTAAAAAATAAACTCTTTACATATATTACTTTATTTTTTAGACCTTTATTTACATATTATAAATAATAATCCTCTTCAGCTGCGCCACCTTCACGTTAGTAAGCATGTGTGATCTGCAGCTGCAGCTTCGGCAGACTTCAGCCTCCTTCTCTGAAACAAACCACGGGTCAAAACTCATTTAGCCGTGCTGTGCGTTAAGAGGAAAAGTGAGCGGTGGTGCCACGATATTAATAAATCAGCAGCTTATCATATCGCTAAAGACACGGTCCTTACTTTAGTGGCTAATAAGACGGCTAACACATTAGCCGTCTTGTTCCACAGTTGAGACTGGGACCGTGTCTTTAGCGATAGGCTAAGCTGCTGATTTATTAATGTTGCGGTGCCACCGCTCACTTTTCCTCTCATAACACACAACATGGCTAAATGAGTTTTGACCCGTGGTTTGTTTCAAGGAAGGAGGCTGAAAACACAGTCGGAGCTGCAGCTTATAACTTAACTTAAAGCGCTCTTTTAAATGGTGAAAAAAATTCATAGTGCCGACCTTTTGTTGGGACTTGTTTTCGGCATTGTCTACAAAAAAAAAACCATTTTTCTGCTGCTCATCTGACTATTTAAATCTGAACTATCTTTAAATAACGGCTATTGTTTTTCTTTTTGCTCAGCAGCAAAGCTGCTCTTCTTATCTCCCATATTTACTTGTGCTAAACATCTCCCGCCCACCCGGAGAAGCAGGAAGCGGGGGGAGCACGCGCAGCTGAGGGGCTGTGTGTTTGTATTCGGGGAGGGAGAAGGAGGGCTGCGTGGGAGACAGAGAAGACAGTAGACAGATTTTCACATACAATATAACACTATATTGTTTATATCGATATAGTCTCATCTTATATCACAAATGAAATTATCTTGATATTTTAAAAATATCGAGATATCGCCCAGCTCTACTCTCAACACAGAAGTGAAGACTGAGGAGACAGGTAGTTGAAAAGGCACATCTACAATCCACACTTTTATTATAAATTCATTTTTCTATTTCACAGTTTTATATAGAATATAATTTTTAGTGCAAGGTTTCTGCCGAAAAAGTATTTATTTGAAAGCTTTCCACTTTAAATTATAGTTTTTTGATTGTGTGTTAAGAGCACAGTCTTAAATAACTGCAGAACTGTATAAAAATACAGTAAGTTTTTGTGCAGAACACTCTTAATAACTACAAACAATACAGGCCACATTCCAAACAAAACACCATTCATCAATAGGTCCAAGTCATGTTGAGATTTACTGATTCTTTATTTATTTGACGTTCAGCAGGAAGCTGACCAGTGCTTTCCGCCCTGGATTTCTCTGAATTTCTCATCAAATGTTAGAAAGGTTGATAAAAATGTACTCACCTTATCAATGTCACAAATTACATGAGAGAAAACCATTGAGTTTAAGCATTTTTAAGCAACAAACAGCTAAAATCTTTAAAACTGAGGCCCAGATTCACAAATACCTCTTTATTTATTTTTTGCTGCTCCAATATTTGTGCATCATTTGCACCCACTAACTGCTCCATCTTGGTGTTTCATTCACAAAGCAGACAGCACCAACGATATGCTGGTGTAATCGCGGCCATCTGGTGCTGCAGATGTGAGCACTTTGCAACTTTTATATTTGATCTAACGTTGACTTTTCACTGCAAAGACATCAGGCTCAAAAGTGACATTGAGAAAGAGGAAAAAAAATAGAATCACTACCTAAAACTGCATAAACATCTCATTGTATTAGGGAAGAAATGTGTTCAAAATGGTTTTTCTAATTATTGATCATTCTACATCCTTTTTATTCCCACTTAATTATTTAAATTAGGCTCTTTGGTTTCTATTCCAGATAACTAAATGTGCACAGTGATGTTCCATGTTGATTATCCTGTAAGATAACTCATAACCGGGGTGTATGAAGTACTATCTTTTCAAATATTCTTTATTCATATGGGTTTCTATTCTGAATATTTAAAAAAAATAATAGTTTTGTGCACTTTAATAACAGTTTGTTTGCTAAAGCAGAACTGTATGACACTGATCTCTGCATGAGAGATAAATTATATTTTTCCAAACATAGATTGTTCCTCTTTCATTATTTCTTTTCCTGAACACCAGGAAAAGGACGAAGCACAAAGAGATGATAATATTTCAGCCCTGGTCTTTGTGTATATAAATACGAGCTGCTCGTGTACTCTTTCAATATGAGCAAACTGTATCAGCGCCGAGAGATGCTGTTGTGTTTGGCAGTTCTGATTAAAGCACAGAACTCTATTGGTGCGGGCTTTGTGAATTAGACGGATGCTTATTTGCTCCGACATAAGAGGAGCAATCTTTCGGTGAATTTAGGCCTGAGTTTTTTTTTTTTTCACATGAGTCAGGGATTTTAGCTGGCAAAGTTAGCATGCAAGCATGAAATGTTATTTACTGGTTTTGCACTAATGAGGAAGAAAAGCTCAAGAGAGACAAGGTTGCACAGGCTGGCCGAAAGATGAGTGACATAAGCTTCATATGCTGAAACCATATGAAAGCTTACCTTGTCTTACATGAGAACATACATTCACAATTCTTGAGTTGGGACTGGGGGAGAGAAGAGAAGAGGGGTTAACAAAATGTTTACATGGAGTTATATGTGTGCACCAGGGAATACTACTGAGTGATTACTGAACTCTTTATATGAAGAGTTAACTGAATAGCTGAAAACTGAGGATACTAGGATGAAGATATTAAGGACTAAAACACAAGAACATCACAAGGTGTGTGCACCAAGGGTGTGCGCTGTGATGATGAACAGGATGGCTAGATGGACAGGATTGGATACAGATGTGCGGGGACAGAGGGGAGAAACAACCTTGAATAAGTGTGGCTAAGTATGATGTGCACTGCACGTGCATCATAATTATGCTACTGTTTCATAATCCAGAACCAGTTGCACCAGATGTTCATGATTTTTAATTTATTAAATTACAAAAATATATATATTATTAACAAATAAGATTAAAAATGATCAAAAAGCAGCTTTTTTGGTTTTGGCAAACCACAAAACTAGCTGTGTGGTCCATCTAGTCTACAGGAAGGAGAACATAGTCTTGAACATTTTTGACTTTTTTGGCCTAAGGATTTTTTTAAACTTTATTTGTAGTAATAAATTATGTTCACTCAAAGTGACAGTTTGGATCTTTTAAAGAACGGTTCTGCAAAAAAAGTAATAAACAGTATCTTACCTGTTGTGAATAGCTCTTTGAAAGATTTCAGGATAATTCTGTGTTGATGCGCTAACAGCTAGTCTGAGTTGTACCTAAGTTGATTGCTGCCATCTTAAAATGGCTGTAATCTCAAAATTTTTATTTCCATCCATCCTTCATCCATCCATCCATGCATTCATCCATCCATCCATCGATTTTCCTCCTCTTATCTGTGGTTGTATCATTGAGGCAACAGGTTCAGGAGAGAAACAAACCCCAATGATCAATAAATTATCATTAAACCATTACATCCCATTCTTTGCATGCCATTTAACAATTTATGTTTGTTAAATGTTACGCATTAGGAATTAAATCAACAAAGCTTTAACTATAACCTTTATATGGTCAGAGGTAAAAAATATAAAAGAAAATAGCTTGCACATGTGGCACTATACAAAAATAAAATTAAAATGAAGGAAAAAAACATGCTAATAACCATGGACCTTTTTATGTAAGCATGACTAGATTTTTTATCTATGTTCAAAATCATTGTCATGTAAAAATTTTGTAAAATATATATTTGAGTTTTAGTTTGCCAATTCAGTATTAAAATCATCATAAACTACAGTAAATTTAGACAATATTAAATAATACATTTGATAATTAATTTATGAAGACCTGGTGCAACTCATTCAAGATACTTACATGTCCCCCTCTTGTATCGTTCCTTCGGTCGGCTTCTGTGAAAACTCACTGGATTTGGTTTCCCGTAATGAAATCTGCCTCTTTAGTCATTACAAAAAGACGTTCGTGTAGGGGTGACTGGCTTGTCTTTTCAGTGTAAGGAGGCAAAAATCTTAAAGTGTTACATTTTATTTTTCTCGTTAAGACCAAGTAAAACTTGGTAAACCAGGCCCAGAGATATAACGGGCACATGTTCTGGTCCATACTGACCTTTGACCTCCAACTTGCAGTCCACTTGGGCCTCTCCCAAGTCGTTGATGGCCTTGCAGGTGTACATGCCACCATCGTATGGACTGGGCTTCCTGATCTCCAGAGAGCAGACTCCTTGGTTGCTGAACATACGATAACGTGGGTCATCTAAGATGGTGATCTTATTCTTCATCCAGATCACTTTGGGCTGCAAGAAGGCAATGACACGTCAGCAGCATCATGATACAGCTAATGGGTATATGAATTATTCTCAAGATCATTCTGGTTTACAACTGCATACACAACCTTTGCCTGTCATTCTTCTACCTACCCTTGGGTTGGCGCGAACGCTACAGTTCAGAGTAGTGTTGTAGCCGGCGACAGCAAAAGTGTTGATAAGTGGCTGCGTGAACTTGGGCGCCTCCTTGAAGTCACGATCGTTGTACTCGGGGTTTTTCACCTGCAATCCTGTTGAGGGAAGGGTAAAAGAGTGGGGTTGCGCATGAAATGGTGGCTGAGCAGTGTCATGAGGTGAACCTTCTATGTGATGAGGGATAGTTAATGTTTTTTTATACATTATGATTCAAGACCAAGACACCACCATTTAAGGGCCAGTCAGTCATGCCCAGAACCCTGTAATCTAGCTCACTTCAGGGTGGAAATGATTACTGACAGGACCTTGGGGGCGGCTGTAGCTGAGTAGTAAGAGCTGTTGTCCTCCAATGCAAGAGTTGGAGGTTCGATTCCACCAGCAGTCACATGCCAAAGTGTCCCTGGGCAAGACGCTGAACCCCTCATTGTCTCCAATGTGTGTCTCATCGGTGTATGAATGTGATCCAAAACATTTATTATTCTTTGTATAGATCTAGTAGAGTGCTGTATGAATGGGTAAATGAGGGCACAAATTGTAGTGTAAAACGCTTTGAGTATCTTGATTAGATCGATAGGCGCTAGATAAGTACAGTCCATTTACCATTTACCTTTGAGACAGCAGCTATGGAAAATGTAGTTAGGAAAACAACTATGCAGACATTACTGCTTTCCTCTAAAGTTTTTGGGTTGGAAACATTTACTCCCATAAGTAATAAAAGTTCAGGAAGCTTTCCTGGTTTCTTAAAAGCAAATTAATAAAAAAAAAAACATTTTTATAGACAATCACACATTTTCCTACCAATTAATTGGACATTAAGAACTGATTTTTTAAAAATAAATATGTTTAAGAAATAAATACACTGCCTGGCCCCCCCCAACAAAGTCGCCACCAAAAAAAAATGTTTTGTTGGACCGTTTTTTAGCTTTGTTTACATCATGCATTCACTGTGGCATGTGGCATTATTTCAATAAGCTTCTGCAATGTCACAAGATCTATTTCCATCTAGTGTTGAATTAATTTTTCACCAAGATCTTGCATTGATGACGAGGCACTAGGCATGATGGGTGCATCACTTCACCTGCCTCTGATGCACCCATCACTCTGGAACAGGGTAAATCTGGACTCATCAGACCACATGACCGTCTTCCATTGCTCCAGAGTCCAATCTTTATGCTCCCTAGCAAATTGAAGCCTTTTTTTCCAGTTAGCCTCACTGATTAGTGGTTTTCTTAAGATTACGCAGCTGTTCAGGCCCAATCCCTTGAGCTCCCTTTGCACTGTGTGTGTGGAAATGCTCTTACTTTCACTATTAAACAGTCCCGAGTGCTACTGTTGTTTTTCTTCAATTTGATTTCACCAAACGTTTAATTGATCGCCGATCACGATCATTCAGGATTTTTTTCCGGCCACATTTTTTCCTCCAAGACGATGGATCCTTCCAGTTTTTAATAATGCGTTGGACAGTTCTTAACCCAATTTTAGTAGTTTCTGCAAACTCCTTAGATGTTTTCTCTGCTTGATGCCAATGATTTGATCCTTCTCAAACAGACTGACATCTTTTCCACGACCACGCTATGTGTCTTTCAACATGGTTGTTAAAGAAATGAGAAGCAACTCATTGCACCAGTTGGGGTTAAATAACTTGTTTCCAGCTGAAAGATAATCACCCATGCAGTAATTATCCAATAGGAGGCTCAAACCTATTTGCTTAGTTAAATCCAGGTGGCGACTTTTTTTTTTTTGACCAGGCAGTGTAAATATGGCATTGAAATAAAAAAATAAGCAGCGAAAGACGATTATCCTCCCACTTGTAAAATCCTATTTTTATTTTATCAAGCCTCATTGCCAGTTACCATATTTCTTTTGCTAATATTTATTTCATAGTCATATTTATTTTCTTGTCCACAACTTTTCATTTATTATTAATCATAATGCCATTTCACAGTTCCTTGACGCTGTTGTACCTTCTTTGACGATGAGAGCGCTCTTTTTAGTTTGGGTAGCAGTTTCGCTCAGACCACACATATTCTCTGAAAAGACCCTGAAGAAGTACTCGTTCCCAACCACCAGTTCTGTGATGGTGATACAGGTGCGATGGTAGTGCTCGATACATGTGTACCATTCCTGAAAAGCAAGGTAAATAGTAAAAAATAATAATCATTCAGTTTTGAATAGTACTGCTATTTTTTATTTTTCAAAGTCTGTTTTTCACCATTGTCTTCTTGTCTGCCTTTTGAATGGTGTAGCCTGTTATTGGAGCGTTTCCGCTGTCTTTCGGGGGTGTCCATACTAAAGCTACATTTCCTCCCCAGACATCTTCAACAGTCACAGACAGAGGAGGGCCGGGTAGATCTAAAATAATAATAATGAAAAAAATGTCTAACACTACTCATATTATTGTGTTATTCTTGTTTCGGAGCATGGTGCATTCACTCACCTACAATTTGTATGTCAATAACTGCAGTGTCTGCATAGTTTTCAACCTGCACCATCATCTCATACTTTGCAGAGTGGCTGCGCTCTGCTTTACGGATAAATATGATACTGTCACAGTCGGTGTTGCGGATGCTAACGTGAGACGGTTCTACGGGCTTGCCCTCCTTGAGCCAGGTGACCTTCGGTCGGGGTTTGCCCTGCAGACAGAGCAACAAAAATGAAGTTTCTGCTCAGAGATGTGCAACATTTAAGGAGTTTGGAGATTTACCTGGAAAGGCACCACGAGGTTAACCGCTTCACCAACTCTTCGTGTGTATGTCTGTTTCAGGTGTCTTGGGACTCGAATCTTGGGTGGTTCTGCATGAGAATTACATCACGTGATTTTATTTAAGGATGAATTGTTAAAAAAAACAAACTATGTGGACATTATTTCTACTTTGAAACGAAGCTTCCCAGAACTTACCGACAACCTCTTTGACCAGAACAGAGTGCTGCAGAGACCTTGGAGAACTGGCTCCGGCTTTATTCACAGCTTTGACTCTGACTAAAATTTTACATCCAGGAGTTAGTCCGGTGATGGTGTACTTGGTTTTCTCTGTCAGCTCCTTGTTGGATACCACCCAGTCCTCGGCTGTTTGAGAAAAATGATTTAGCTTACATAACAGTTTCCAGTGTTTCATATCTACTTGATCTCCACGCTATGCAAGTCCCAATTTCCTGTGGAGTTTATTGGAAAAGTGAAGTTTGACTTACTTCCTTCAATGCAGTACTCCACTAAGTATCCGTCGAGCCCAGCAGCGCCAATGGTTTCTGGAGGACGCCACTTTACAGTCACCGTAGTGTCAGTGACATCATCCACAACCAGCATAGTGGGTTCACTGGTCACAGCTAAATAAAAAAATAGGTATTAAAGAACTAAGTCACAGTAAAAATCCCATTTTGTAATGAATGCACGAGAAGCCCCTTTGAGCAGAAAGGTCAATGTTTCAAAGCTGAATTGCGTCGTAGACCTAATTTAGTCTCAAGTAACTTTGGCTAAACTTAAAAATTTACACTAGGTTCATTTGTGTTTACTACCTACTTTTTTTTAATACTGGACAACAAAAACAGTAAGATGCACATCTTAAAATTACAAAAATGGTCAAAATACCAAAAAACACTTCCTGGAATTTTAACACTGATTGAAAAATGTAGATTTATGACCTCATCATCTCAAAACCTCTGACCTGGTTTTCATTTGCCACTGTTCTGGTTATGTGACATGAAAGTAGAGATCTTGGGTTTTAACCCAACTTGTACAATGGTTTGTTTTTTTTTGCCCATCCATGTTAAAGTGTGGTTAAAATCAATTATTTATCAAACATTTACAACTAGGTCTAGAGTTCTACAAAACCTTTACGTTTAGACTAAATTTGGCCCAGGACAGGTGTCTTGTGACTGTCATCCCTGAATTGCTCACTGGGACGTCTGTGTCTTGCTGGTTTGTCACCTGTCTCCTTGCCAGATCTCATTAGTCTTTTCCTTTGTTCTGAATCATAATTCATGCTTTGATTAGCATGAGCTCCTAAATCTATACCTAAACTTATAATCCGCAGATGATTTGGCAGCCATTCTAAAGACATATTTGATATTCTTGAAAACTCTTTCATGTTCACTGGAGGTCAAAGTCAGAATGCTGGGAATGTTGTATAGGGAGGGGACAGCTGTGTTGCAGGGGTAACAAGGGCACATTAAGCATGCATTATCACATGACCCCTCTTTGAAAATAATTATAAAATTGTTGTTAGATCAACTGTAACTGCATGTCAGTGTTAATCTCTGCTGGGTCATTGTTTATGCTGCTAAGGAGACCCTCACCAAGCGGAGTAAAGGCTTTGGATGGTTCGCTGGGTTTGGACACGCCAATGGCATTGACTGCAAAAATCCGCACTTCGTATGGCACTCCTTCAATCATCTTCTTGGGTTCAAACGAAGTTTCTTTGATCAGATCAAAGTTCAGCCTCATCCATCTGGAGCTCTGTTTCTTTTTTCTCTCAATGAAATAGCCTTCGGAGAACCAACAGAAAGCTGATCATTTAGCATCTTTGTGTGCGATCAGGCTGAATGACGGCCATGATGTTCTGATTACCTAAAATGGGTGAAGCTCCATCATACTTGGGTGGTTCCCATGTCATAAAACACCAGTCGCCACCGACTTCTGGGACCAGAGGAGCATCAGGAGGGTCAGGAATGTCTGCAAACAACATAATCAGATTATATATTCAAGGGAATAAATCTACGGTTTTGTTTTTACATTCGTTCTCTTACCAACAACCTTGATTTTAACGCTGGCTGTGGCCTCGCCGGCCTCATTCTGCAAAACAATTTTGTAGTTGCCCGTGTCCTCCCGCTCCGTGACTTCAATTGTCAGGCTTGTCTGGTCACCGTACGTTTCAGCTCGAACACGATGGCCTGAATCAAGAATCACCTGAAACGGATTTTCAACTATTTACTTAAAATATTAAACTTGAGAGACTCTATAAAACAAAATTAGAAAGGATCTCACCCTTTCTCCTTTTGTCCACACCACTCTGGGTGCTGGTTCTCCACTGATGGGGATCTCTAATCGAAGTTTGTTTCCAGCCACAACTGTGACTGTGTTGTCTGGAAAGTTCAAGCTATCCAGGAGAACTTTTGGAGGGTCTGCAGGAAAATACAGATTTCTCTCTTTAGGTGATGGAAAGACTGAAAGTTCCTAGAAAGATATGAAGTACGTCATTTGTTTTTGTGTACCAATGATGTGGACTTTGGCAGAAAGGCTCTGTGAGTAACCCTCAGGCACAAACGTGTAATCTCCTGCATCATGGAGGGAGCTTGTCTCAATTTCCAGTCGGTGAATCCTTAAAAACAAACAAAAATATTATGTTAATTAATGTTTAAAAAAAGTTTTGTTTTAAATTACTTTAGGATAGGGTACGTACTTATTCCTGTGTATTATGTTGAGTCGATCGCTAGGCTGGATCAGCTGACCATTCCTGTACCAACGGCCTGGTACATTACCAGGAAATATCTCACAGTGGAGCTTTATGGGTTTTCCCAGCAACACTGTCATATCCTGCAGGTCCTGGTAAATTTTCAGTGGTTTCACTAAAAAAAAAAAAAGTACAGATTTTGAACAGAATGGATTTTTTCTTGTTGGGGAAAAAAGTGATCATTGTGGGGCGAAATAGACAAAGAGAAGGTTGAACGTACAGTCAACTTGAACACGAGCCTCTGATGTGCCCCCGCTGGCCATGACTGAATAAGTCCCGGTGTCGTCTCTGGAGGCATCATCAATGACCAGGTAGTGTTTGGTTCCCTCACTCTTAATTCGGTATCTTGAGCGAACTCCTGTTGGAACCTCGACACCATTCTTCATCCTGACAAGTCATTTTAGATAGCACAAAGTATTTGACAATGTTTTTTTTTTTTTTTAAGTCTTAAAATAGCATTTTAAGAGTGTATTTAAGGGTTAATACTTAATTTAATTGGGTTTTTAACTTTTCTTCACTCTACGTGACTTTGGAAGTTCAACCTTTTGGTGGAGGGGAAATTAATCATAGAAATCGAATACAATTTTCAAACGCTTTCAAATATATTTTTTGGATTAAAAATTAAGTATCCTCTCAGTCAATCATCTACAGTTCTTGTATCAGGAGCAAAATGTTACAAAAAGAAAATCTTAACGTTTTACTTTTCTGCGAGAGCATAAAACTTCAAAATAGAAGAGGTATGTCCCCAACGAACAAGTGTTTAGTCCAAAAATGTAAAAAAAACAAGTATTTTAGTAGGTGTTAGTAATTATTTTGAGTTTTCAACTTTTAGATAATAAACATGGATGAGTTAAATTGGATCTCAGTAGATCGATGAGACGAGTTGTATATTTTAATTTCCATTTTTCCAATATTTCAAAGGTGTTGAAGCGTAGCAGCTCAGGTTGGTTCACACTGGACATTCTTTAGTACTCTTTTGATTTGACAAAAACAACTTTCTTTACAGCATCATAGCATATTTTAAAGCATTAAATGTTTTCTTACCATTTAACTTGAGCTCCTTCTTCTGACACCTCACACTCCAGTTCAATCCTCTCATTCACAGTGGTCTTTACGGGCTCAATGTCTTTAACAATCTTAACCGGTAACTCTGAAAGGTGAAACGTGAAGGAGGAAACAGACACAGGATATTTCAGGACAGAACGCTCACGTCAGCATAAAAAGCAAAGGGCTCAGTTAAATTACCTTTAACGAACAGCTCTGTTGTGCATTTCTCTTCTCCTGCAACCACGGAGTAGGCTGCATCATCATTGGAGGTGCAGTTGCTGATGACCATTATCCTTTGTGTGCCCTTATGCTCAAAAATATACCTTTTAAAAGGGAGTCAGTTGGTTGCATCAGTGATTTAAAAACATTTTGGCAACCTATAGATATGCACAATAATCCTTTGCTATGAATTAGACACATTAAAAGGTAATGTATGTAAAAAATGAACATAATCCTTAAGATCTACTGATCAATAATCTGAACAAAATTATTATTATTTTTATTTAGCATGTTTTAAACTCGGCTGCAGAAAGTCAGGGGTCAAACTACACATATAGATGCATTAGGCTCACACCAAAACTATGACATGAGTAATGGAGAGCCGATGAGACGAATGAACTTACTTCCTTTGACTAAAGGTCAGCGGCGGAGCCAGAATAGGGCCGGATCACAGGAAGTAATTATGACAGGGAGGAGCACCAAGATATGACAGACAGATAGACAAAGACAGAGAGACATCATGCCTGGAGGGGTAGAGTTTGTGGTTGGTAAACAGTGTTAAATAAAAAGAAAAGAGTTATAGGAACGATGCATTTGAAAGAAGTTGTCATAGAAGGGTAGCCCTGGAGAAAATGATAAAGGAGATCAGAACCAGAAAACAGCAATATCCTCCCAGATGGCTTTAACCTCACATGGCTTGACTTAGTTCTGACTTAATTGTAGCGCTACAACTTTGTAAGCCTTTTTTTTAGTTCTAAAGAAGACATTTTACATTAAAATAATATATTTTGTTACCTTAAACACAACTCTTCTATTAAAGAAATATGCCAATGATTGTATATACTTTTTAAAGAGCTTTTGTCTTAACTCACCAGCACCAAAAGGGCTAATATGAAAATGAAACTATTGTTTAAAAATGAAAAACTAGGCCCATTTCACCTACATGGTGTCAAACTTTACACACTTTGCTGTAGTGAATGCACAAAGAGAACTTTTAGAATACAAAAGTATTCCTACAAAGCTCTCAACAACCTAGCTCCATCTTATATTACAGATCTTATTGTTCTATATTTTCCTAACAGAGCACTTCGCTCTCAGATTGCAGGTTTACTTGTGGTTCCTAGAGTTTTCAAAAGCAGAATGGGAGGAAGATCTTTCAGTTATCAGGCTCCTCTCTTGTGGAACCAACTTCCAGTTTCTGTCCATGAGGCTGACACATTGTCCAGTTTTAAGACTGGGATTAAGACTTTCCTTTTTGATAAATCCTATATTTAGGGTTGGATTGTTATGCTGCTATAGATTTAGACTGGAGGACAAATTAACCTCATTTTCTTAAATGAATTGCTAAAATTGAATAGTTTTCATTTGATATTATTTCTATCTTAACATGTGATTCTTGACCTGCCATTGTGTATCTGTTCCTCCTTCCTGTTCCTCTCAAACCCAGTATTTGATCAGGTTCGGGTATCAAGATGAAAGTCATTTTCCTCATTAGATTTAAGAACCGAAGCTACTTGATAAGTTTTAGGAAAAGGTTGTGATTTACTTTATTGTACTTTGTAATATTCATCCAACCTTTTACTTGAGTTTTTTTTATCACTGAGATTTACTAACAAATAAAAGTCCAAATGCTTGATTAATTATGGGGACTGTTAAAAATATTTGAATGCTGTGATTTTTGTATTTGCTAGAACTCTTCCAAAGCCACATTTGGTTAAAGACCTGTGAAGGAGGTACCACCTTTTTCCTGTGTAGAGCAGGACATAAACAACAGTTAATGGAAATTTAAGACAACAGCGTACATCACCCAGTGCATTTATGGACTTTAACTGGTCATATGACAACCTAATTCATTGAGACAGTGAAGACATTTAGAACTGGGATGCCCCATCTTCACGTCCAACACCTTAACGGTCCTTATTGTGCACAAATAAAATCATTTTCAATTTTTTAAATATAAAATGTTTTACATTTGTGCAGCAATAAGACAAATAATTTTAAAGCAATCATAATATGGTTACATACTTGGGAGTGGGCCTGATTTCCTGTCCATTCTTGTACCACTTTAGATCAACTGTGGGGTCGGCCAGATCAACCACCAAGCGGATTTTTGACCCTTTATCCACTTGATACGCCGGATCCAGCTTCTTTGCAAAAGCTTAAAGTCACAGTAGCGGTCAGTAACATTAAGTTCAAGTTTTAATCTTAGGCCAAGATTTACTGCAGTACAAAATCTAATTTATCTACCTGCACTCTTCTTCTCCTCCTTTGGAATCTTCTTCATCCTCTTCAGCAGACCTCTCAGGTCCGTGATGCCGTACATGAAGGCGATTTTTTCATATTCGTCTGGCCGGGCGTTCTTCAGGATCTCCCACACGTCCACTTCCGGAGTGTCATCCTGCTGTTTGTGCTCCCTAATGGCACCAGATACCAGGTAAAACATGTGAGAACATGAAGCATGTGTTGGTGTTTGCAACATGTGCTGAGGAACCACACATGAACTGTAATAATCAGGGTTTTGTGGCCTTGGGACGATCAGATCTCATTTAAACTTACCTTTTCTGTTTTTTTTTTCACATTTTCTTGCAATGCTGGTCTAGATTTGTGTGTTCCTCAGGACATGTCACACAAAGGGATGGGCATAGTGGCCTGAATCTCTTGAGATCATATCTGAGGGTGCATGTTAATGATTGCAGGGCAGCAGCAGTAATATTATAAAAAAACAAAACAAAAAAAAAACAGTTTTTTTGCTTTAAAGAGCAGCATTAATAGGTTCTGCAGGATTTCTCATGGGTCTATCCACCAGGAATTCAGAGGACACAAACAATGAAGTAATAAATAAACCACTAGGGATTCACTTTTAAATCAATATATGTTCATTTTGAATATATGTTTTAAAAAGTTGGGATAAATGCACGGCGTTGCTTCACATTTTTGTAAACAGCTCTACAAACAACACTTTCTGTCTCTCTCTTTTTTATGAATGAACTTCCCAGTCTTGCCTGATAGGATTTTATTAGGTCAACAGCTCAGTTCTTTCTTGGTATACTTTATATATACCATATACTGTATATATATAATACTGTATTTTCAAGTATTTTTGTACTGCACTGAATATGTGACAGGCATAATAGAAAGCTGTCCAATTTACTGCCAAATATTTGGCATTGCATTGCTGAAATTAGCAAAGCCTTCTGTGAAATTACAAAGTCTGAGCAGCTGTTTGTTGCTGCAAAACTCTATCTTGATCAGCATTAATACAATAGAATAATCTTCATTGTCACAGAATAACTTGTTTATATATATACATATAGAAAATGACTATTGCTTATAATATAATTTAATTGATCTCCTTCGCTAACTTTATACCGGTCATGTTTCTGATCTGGTTCATCTTTGGGATGTCTTGCCGCTGTTTTTAACTTCATATAATGTCCTTTCTTTTTATTTTATTGTTGAACCCATCTTATTTTTTGCCGTTGAGCGTGCAAAGAGATGTGGAAGGTAAATATGAAAGGGAAGTTACATTTGGTGTGTGCCTTTTTAAAAATAGGAGTGGAAGATGACACGGAGGTTTGAATCAAAATTAAAATAGCATGTAAATGAAGTCACATAAACTTTATGTTGAGTCAAGTCATTTAACACACTGTAGCGTGTTACAGTGTGTTACCTTGTGCAGCATGCAGCGGGTTAAGGATATGCTGCTCTTTATAAGACTGGCCCATCCCTTTGTAGTTGTCTCACTTCAGAGATGCTCTGACACTTGTAGATGTTAGTCTTTACAGAGATGTTAGATTTGTGAGATGCAGGTTAAAATGCACATCGGCCTGGATATGAGTGTTAGTTCAAACAAAGAACTGTCAGTCAGACCTTTCTCAAACATTTCCACAAATGTCTGAAAGGTTGGACGTGAATAGCTCAAATAATTAATCTTTTTTTTTTTTTTTTTTACTCGTGTTTCTCGTCTGTTTATTTTCAGTCAGTTATGAAGAAAGCTGAAATAAACGAGGTGCTATTATCCTTATACTGCTAAACGGAAACAAGTGACAATGTAGTGATAACACTATTTTACAGCATCATTTTCTTGTGACTCAATAGCTCGTCAGTAACGATGCCAATAAATGGAGCTGTTTTCACACAGTGACGTCCATCACCATCGTTACTGATGGCTAACTGAGCAGATGAAATGCTGCCTTCAAATGAAGTGTTACCAAACTACAGGAGGCCAACACTCTTGCTCGTCCAGTTCCTAGAGCTACACGTCATGCTGGGGAATCTACAGGATTACTCACCTGCAGTAAGGGCTAACCGTTTAAAATCTATGGTTTTCTCTCTACTAACCTTTGATTTCTGAATATGTAGGGGAGAAGAAGAGACAAGGCCAAAATAAATGTGTAATTTGTGCGAGGGAGCAAAGTTAATGACTAGGCCTATTTGTGTGCACATTTCAATCCTGGGCCGTATCTCAATTGTGCACCATAGAGTTTACTTTCATGGAAAGAGGTTTTCAAACTGCGAGGCAACTCTGACAGTAGAATAGCTGGTGTTATTGGTTTCTGTTTCTTTACTTGCAGTCAAACCAGACAGTGGAAATCTCTGGTCTATTATGGTTGTAAAGAGGAGCGGCCACAGTGTCAGAATTTGAAAACCCCCCTGATATAACTTCAACTCGTACAGTAAACTTTTGCAATTTTACAAAGAACATGAAAAAAAGAAGCACATCCAATATAAAAACGTGAAAAGGACAAACTCGGTCAGGATGTGTTCTCACCTATGTTTAAGGAGACCACTAAAGTCAAGCTCGCCTGCATCTTCTTGTCCTTCACTGCTGTTGTTAACAAGGAGAGATTATTGGAGATTTAATCAGAGTTGTAACGTGTACAGGCACTCAAAGACAATGCTCTGAGAGCAGCACAATGCAAAGGCTCTGATGCCAATCGGTGAATTAGCTAAAAGCTAACTCATGATTTGTGTGCACTTGTCTAGGTCATTTGTGTAACACACATGGAGAGCTGTCCCGGTTGTTATTGCCACAATGTTTCTGCAACGCCGAGTTACTGAAATATTGTGATGGTGCAATGAAACTGGGATACTTTGCATTGCTTTACATTGTTTGGAGGGGGAATTAAAGTGCAAGGTATTTGCACTTTAATTGCACGTTGAATGAAGTAATTGATTTCTAATTGCCTTTAGGAAAAGGTTAATGACATGACTTATATGCCATTTAGTAATAGGAGACATGTTCACTGTTGCGCCACAGAGGGTGGTACTTTTTTTTTTCTTTGTGCCAACTGAAAATTGTATATTTTTTTAAAGCTATATCTTGTTCAAGTTAAATAATGTTGAGTACCTAATGTAAAACGGTTGCTGCTGATGTCTCTGTTGATCATTTTATTACCTTCTCTTGAAAGCTGATCGAATATCAATGTTCTGCGAACCCTGTTCGGTTTCTGTAAAACAGTAATAACACATATTTATTTATATATATATATATTTACTTCCATTCTTATTTTGTGGTGCTTTTTATTTTTTATTTTTATCGGAGCATTAATAATGTACTTTGACGAACCTTTAATATCCAAGTCAAAGGAACAGCTGTCAAACTTGTCCTTGTAGGTCACCTCGCATCTATAATTTCCAGCATAGTTCTCTTTGGCCTTGATGATGTGCATCTCAAAAGTGTGGATCTGCCAACAGGAAGTCATACCAGAATTTATGATGGACATAGGTGGTGGTCACATACTCTTGGTAGAGGTGGATGCTTTTACCTTGGTTTGTCGCTCAAAGGTCTCTTTAAGTTGTAGGTGTTTTCCTGTTTTGCTGGCCAGATCCATCCATTTTCCTTTAAACCACTTGACTGTGGGTTTGCGGAGAAGATCTTTTGCTTCTACCTTGGCAACAAAGGTGATGTCACCCCCTTTGGATGCAAACAAACACATTAAATGGGATGGGGCAGTTTTTGCAGCCAGGGGTCCTTAAAACTGTGATCTAATACATTAAATATACAGGTGCTGGTCATAAAATTGGAATATCCAGAAAAATTTGATTTAATCATTAATTCCATTCAAAAAGTGAACACAGACTGATATATTTCAAATGTTTATTTTTTTAATGTTGATGATTATAACTGACAACTAATGAAAACCCCAAATTCAGTATCTCAGAAAATTAGAATATTATGAAAAGGTTCAATATTGAAGACACCTGGTGCCACACTCTAATCAGCTAATTTACTCAAAAACACCTGCAAAAGCCTTTAAATGGTCTCAGTCTAGTTCTGTAGGCTACACAATCATGGGGAAGACTGCTGACTTGACAGTTGTCCAAAAGACGACCATTAACACCTTGCACAAGGAGGGCAGGACACAAAAGGTCTTTGCTAAAGAGGCTGGCTGTTCACAGAGCTCTGTGTCCAAGCACATTAACAGAGAGGCAAAGGGAAGGAAAAGATGTGGTAGAAAAAAGTGTACAAGCAACAGGGATAACCACACCCTGGAAAGGATTGTGAAACAAAACCCATTCCAAAATGTGGAGGAGATCCACAAGAGTGGACTGCAGCTGGAGTCAGTGCTTCAGGAACCACCACGCACAGACAAATGCAAGACATCGGGTTCAGCTGTCGCATTCCTTGTGTCAAGCCACTCTTGAACAAGAGACATCGTCAGAAGTGGTTCACCTGGGCTAAAAACAAAAAGGACTGGACTGCTGCTGAGTGGTCCAAAGTTATGTTCTCTGATTAAAGTAAATTTTGCATTTCCTTTAGAAATCAAGGTCCCAGAGTCTGGAGGAAGAGAGGAGAGGCACAGAATCCATGTTGCTTGAGGTCCGGTGTCAAGTTTCCACAGTCAGTGATGGTTTGGGGTGTCATGTCATCTGCTGGTGTTGGTCCACTGTGTTTTCTAAGGTCCAAGGTCAACGCAGCCGTCTACCAGAAAGTTTTAGAGCACTTCATGCTTCCTGCTGCTGACCAACTTTATGGAGATGCAGATTTTATTTTCCAACAGGACTTGGCACCTGCACACAGTGCTAAAGCTACCAGTACCTGGTTTAAGGACCATGGTATCCCTGTTCTTAATTGACCAGCAAACTCACCTGACCTTAACCTCATAGAAAATCTATATGTGGTATTGTGAAGAGGAAGAAGCCAACAATTCAGAAGAGCTGAGGCCACTATCAGAGCAACCTGTGCTCTCATAACACCTGAGCAGTGCCACAGACGGACCGACTACATGCCACGCCACATTGCTGCAGTAATCCAGGCAAAAGGAGCAACAACTAAGTATTGAGTGATGTACATGCTCATAGTTTTCAGTTGGCCAACATTTCTAAAAATCCTTTTTTTATTGGTCTTGAGTAATATTCTAAGTTTATGAGATACTGAAGTTGGGGTTTTCATTACTTGTCACTTATAACCATCAGCAATAAATGAAATGAACATTTGAAAGATCAGTCTTTATGCAATGAAAGAATATAATATACAAGTTCCACTTTTTGAATGGAATTAATAAAATAAATAAACTTTTTCATGATATTCTAATTTTTTAACCAGCACCTGTAATATTTCAAGCCTTTCATTACATATGGAGCATATCTCCCTCATATATTTTTTCGTCACTCACCCACAAGGACAGCTGCACTCTGGGGTTTCTCTATCAGCAGCGTGGACAGGGGTGGGTTGTCGATCGGCTTGTCCACGTCCTCTGGAGCCTGACCCTCTCCCAGAGACCACACTGGTCAGTGAGGAGAAACAAACTGTTAACACAGAACTCGCCGCTGTCACTTTGTACAGAAACGATACAACAAAGAGTCTCGACACCCACCTTTCGCTTCATGTCTGATGTTTTTGTTTCAACAAGGTTTCAAAAAGACTGTACAACTACTAACAGCACATTTAAACACATCCCATACGCTCAGCAGTCACACCTCATACAGCGGCAGAATCTCAGCTCTTTGCAACATGGAAAGCGTGAAAACCGATGTTAGACACGTGTGCACATATAATTTTCATAATCTAATATAATACACTGCAGTATGCTGTTTCCTAAATTATCCTTAATTTTTATAAATCTTTTTTTTAAATGTAAAACAAAAAAACAGTTTTCTAATAGACCCATTTTGTCCCGTATGACTGGATGAATTTGGCACAAACTACACCAATTATTTCCCTTCACTGTTGTGTTACCTGAGTCTTTTCTCCCCATGGTTGGCACAGGGGCACTATCATCTGAACAAAGAGAGAAATTTACAGCATATTGTAAGAAATAGTACTGTAAAGTCCACTGAAGCAAGGACACACTTATGAAATATGAACCCAACGAGCAGTTAAAGACGTGCAAGCAGTGATGTGAGGAATCAGGAGTCAAACATCTGAATAAAGATCCTCCTGGATTTAATAGTTCTCCATTGACCCTTACAATTAAAATGATATATGTTTAAGGTTTGACTTCATGGCGTGCCAGTTATGTGTGCAAAATACAAAAAAAAAAAATTAAAATTGTGAGCATCCAGAAATTAAAATGAAAAGTAATCCAACCTTGGTCTTCATTAATATGTTAGAAAGTAATTTTTTTGCAGTTTTGAAAAAACTAATTTCTAAGCACACAAAATATCTCAAATTTAAACATGTCTTGAGCATGTTTTCTACAAACACTGAGTATTTTTTTTTATTTGATTAGGCTACTACTTTGGTGAGAGGAACTGAAACAATGCTGGGATTTAACGGAGGAATCTTACTAGGCAGGTCAATTGAGAGTTTCTTGATTGAACTGCCATTTTCTGTGGAAAAAAGCACAGTTACAGTTGAAACTGGTGAACACCATGAAAAGTTTAAAGATCTGCTACAGCAGGGGTGTCCAAACATTTTCATTGGTGGGCCAGAACTGTCTAGATGAAAGGACTCGTGGGACAGGATATTTTAAATTTAAGAAAAGAAAAAAAAATTTAAATGCATGATTGTTTTTTTTTTTTCCACCCTCATTTTTTAATTCTCATCAATTTGAACAATATTTTGGAGAAAGGCTAAAAGTTTAGTTTAAATTATTGTCCAGAACATTAGGAGTCTCATTAAACATTAGCCTTTATTTATTTCTTAATTGGAAATTAAGAAATAAATATTCTTGTACTTGGAAAGTTCATTTTTGTTAATTTTCAGAGACAAAAGCCTAAAATGAGAAACTGTTCTTAAAAAAAGGGGGTGGAGCTTCAAACACCCGTTTGGACCATGGCTGGCCCAAAAGCGTCATCGAAGTTCTGAAAAACGGTCCAGCTGGCAGTCGCTAAAACAGATTCAAGGTTTGAAGGGACACTGATAAAAAGTTGATCGACTTGTATGTCGATGATACCACTTTATATTCTTTTAAAAATGTCCCAATTTATACCCATCAATTATTTAATCAATATAAATTATTTTCTTTGAAAACATTTGCTATATTTAGCCAAGTTGTATGAATTATTATCAAAAATTCTACTTTCTGGTAGGTCAGTGAAGGCTTATTGTAGGATAAAGGGATTAATTATAGCTAAATATTTGTGTTACTCAATATTGCTCATTTTGAGAAGATTTTTTAAATCTGTTTTGCTGTTAAATCTAAAAATTTAAAAAGTGTCACCGTTATATCTAAAGAAGGTCTACATCCGCATCAACCTCTTAAGCCTTCAGGTCAAAATTATATCATTCTTTTATCGCAGTCATGGGCCGCACAAAATCACTCCAAGGGCCGCAAATGGCCCTCGGACCACACTTTGGACACCCCTGTGCTACAGTATGTCATTCATGAGCAAATCCAATTACACTTTATAAAACAAACCATGTGTGTCTCATCCTTTAACTTTATTTTTAATTCTAAAGCAAAAGCTAAAATGATTTTCCTGAGTCCTGGGATTTTTGTTATGTTGCTCAGATTTTTATGTTTCGCATTTATGGGTTCATATTATTTTTTTCTTTTTTGATTAGTCTTTAGCTTCTTCAGTATGTTTTATTTCAGGATTTATTTTTCCTTTGTCACCATTTATTGGTATGTTTGTGCTCCTCTTCATGCCCAACACGACATAAAGCAGTAGTAGCTTTTGTGGGCATTTGGATTAATAGTAACTTTCCAAAGTGCAAATATGATGGTGTAGATTTTCAGTCATCCGGGACATTGCAATTCCTAAGAGTTTTAAAAACAAAGCAACCAAACTTTGTTTTTTGTTTCTTAGTTTAATGAATACTTTTTTTTAATTTTTATCTGAGGCGCAGTTTGAAAAGTGCAGAGGTCCACGCTTATAAAATGCAAGGAGATTAATTTATATGAGCTAAACTCGTACAAAATGACTCCCCCCTCCACTAACTTCTGAGGGTCATTGGAGTATTTGGTTGCTGGTCCATATGAAAGACGTTTCCGTCACATTCATGAAACTTACTGGATATTTCCATCTTCTCTGTCCAAAATTTGAGCATGACTGCCCTCAAAGGAGTGTTTTGAGGTAAACGTTTCAAGGGGGGATTGAAAAAAAGCCATTTTCATTAAATGGGAAATAACTTGAAATAGGGCAACATAATGGAAGGACAGCTTTGTGAAATCACAAGATTTTGAATCAGGTGGAAGGTTTTTAACAACAAAAACACAATTCCTACTTCAACAGTGGATGTGCACACAAAGCGGGAAAGCTGAGCAAATTGTCAAAAATACTTAAGACCATGTCAAAGAAACCACCAGTAACTTCAGTACATTTAGTTTACTGTATATACTACCCTGATGCATGCTCAATAATCCAGGTAGAAAAATCTAAAAAAGTTAAATCTGGTATATAATGTTTAAAATGTATATACTACCAGTTCACAACAAATATTACAGGTATAAATATACAGATGTAAAAATATGTTGCGTACATTTCAACAGATTGTACTGGATCCTCTTTTCCATTAAATTCTCCAAAGTTTGTCAGTTTTCTAAACTGATGTACTTCAATGTTATTTTATTCTATTTAAAAGTACTTATTATTGAATTTACCATTAAAAAAAATGATACAAGGAAAAAAACCTGTTTTTGTTCTGCTTGTCATTTTCTTTGAGATTTAAGATGGCAGGTTTAAGATTTTTAGGACTCACTTTGCACACAAAGTACATTAGCCTTTATTAATAATACAGTACAACAAAAAAACTCATACTTTACATCATAAAATTCTTAGATGCAAGTATATAGTTTTATTTGTTTCTTTTTACATGCTGTTAAAAGCCAGGGCACGACTGAGAGCATGGTTAAAATGCATGCCGAAGTCAGCATGAGTAAACTTTAGCCATTTTTGTATGAAAATAAGTCTCAATCTGTGTAAATGCAGGTTTAGATAAAGTAAAATTAACAATATTTACTATTCAGCTTAGCAGGTGTAGTTTACAGTCAGGATTATGTAAAAGTTTTGTATCAGAGTTTGATCTGAAGAGCTCATGCAGTTTCATTGGGAGAGACATGGGATTGATTCATAGTGAAGAAACATACTTACCAGGTGGTGGGGGAGAGCAAGTGCCTTCGTCCTTGACAGCAGAGTTAGCAGACTCTGCTTGCTCATTCACCCCAACCCCACTAGGCTCTGGATGGTTTGAACAACTGTCGAAGAGTTTTGATTCCTGAGCCACCACAGCCTGTAATGGCTCAGGCCCTGTGGGCTCTGGTTTCTTCCCATCAGTCCCCTCTCCTACCGTCTCTGTACAGCAGACAAAGCGCCAAGCTGGAGCAGCAAGCACCGAGCACAAACAGGAACACCTGACAAGACATGCTTGTTCAGGTGAAGCAGGTATAAAAAGCTAAAGACCAGATGGACACAATGAGTTATTGAAAGAGTTGTAGCCAGGCTACAATTTTATTGTATCTCTAAAACTGAGATACAATAGTTTAGGCTGAATGTTAACAACATGCTTCTGAGCTTATGAATATTTTCTACTAACCCTACAGATACAATAGTTTAACATTTATTTTATCAGCCATGAGAAAGCTAAAGGGCTGTTAGTATAAATATATTTATAATAATTAAATATAAGGCTAAAAGCTAATGCTAACATATTTAGCTTTTATGTCTTCTTGTGAAGATCCTCGTCCTCAACATTGAAAATGTTTTCCTCATACAAAAAGTGTTGATTAATAATTTTGATAGATGTGCTACATATTACTAAAATATTTTCCGACATTAGCTTGCATTGCTCATACATGTACGTTAGCTATGGTGCGATCAAGAACGAACAAATTCCATTGGTTTTCCAACTTGCAAATTAAATGTGGGTGGTTGAGTGACCCAAGTCTAAGTTTCAACTTTTTTTTTTTTAAAGAAAAACTAGTTATTTAGATCATTTTGAGAGAATAGCCAAATTCACCTTGCGTAAATGAATTTGTAAAATTAGGATTAGCTTTCTTGGCACAGTCAGTGTCTTAGTCTAAGTTCAAACATCTATCTGGTCTTTGCTCACATATACTGTGCAGTCATCAAGGAGGTAGAAATTAGAGGACTCAAATGTGTAATCTGATTACTTTTATTAATTTCTTGGACAGGTGAGTTTTGACTAGAGCTCAGAAAATTACACATCTTTCCCAAATCCCTTTCAGTACCTCCTGTTTGATGACGCTGTACGCCATACATTAACATAATCACAGAAACAGCCATTGTTTCAGTGACTAACAGCGCCACGTGCCAAGGCCAGTGCAGAACAGGGAGATTTGTGCACCGTCAGTGAGTACTTTGACTGTATCTAACCTAATTAAAGTGTCGTGTGATCATCCAGTGCAAGGAAAGTGCAGTTTCAGGCCTCTTGAAGTAAATTAAGCAAAACAAAACGTGACGACACACGACAAAGCAAAACAGGAAACGTGATGTGAGCAGGATGTGCAGAGGTGCATTGCATTCTGGGGCAAGTGGAGTGACAAAGGAGGGGGAAGGGAGGGTTCAGGGTTACCTACCTGGTGGGGGAGAAACCTCCAGGGAAATCCCAGGTAGGGTTGGGGCACCGTTACTGTCTGGGGCAACACTTTCTGAGCATGTGACAAATATAGGGGTGGATGGAGCGGCTTCATTTGACGAGCATAAAGCTTCAGCATCTTCCAACCTCTCTCTCTCTCTCATGCACACACACGCCTCTTTATCCACTCACCTACCTGCAAGTGGCCACACAAACTAACACAATTCATCATTCTCTTGTTTTTTAGAGACTTCTCACAATTTCAAACATTCTGAGGAGAAATATACCGTTAGTTAGGGTGACGTCAACTTGAAATGTACCGTTATAAAGCTACTATACGTTTGGAAGGACTACAATGGCGTGAAACGTGGAAAGACGACTTTCCACCTAATATTATTTTTAGTGTCTTTTACATTGTGATTTTATTTTTTCTTTCGTCAAAGTGATTTTGAAAGATGAGAATTTAGGAGAACAGTTTATAAACTGAAGTGATCTGAGTAATGCTCGTTTTCACGTGTTGTCGGCTTGTTTGCTGTTTTAATAAGAGCGCTAGCGACATCAGACGTTTATTAACTCAAAATGTATTTTATACACATATAAATATTTTAGCCCTATTTTTGAGTTTTGTAAATGGCAGCTTTGTTGTGTTGCCATGTCATAGAAGCAAAGTACAAAAGATGATCTATTTTTCTTATCCAAACCAATTATTTGATGTTTCATCTGCTAAGCTAAGTAAATCATGTACTCTTTTGTCTCCGACTCAACTGATAAAACAAGGTTTATCAGTTGCCATAACTAATTCTTCTTTCTGAGACAAACTGGATTTAAGCCTTAACCAAACTAAAATGTGATTTTTAAGTGCTTTCATAGTATGAGATATTTCTTGTAGAAACATGGTTCCAATAGATCTCAGTCTACTTTCCGCTTTCCATTTTCTTTAGTCATTAGGGATGAGTTTTGACAAGAATAAACTTTTTTTTTTTAAATATACAGCAGTCCCTCATTTATCACAGAGGGTCTGTACCCTGAAGACCCGCGATAAGTGGAAAAACCACGAAGTAGGAATAGTAGTACAAGTAGTAATAGTTTATTTTAGTATTTATATATATATATATAAAGGTGTTTTAAACCTTTCCCACACTCTTGCAGTATTCTAAACAATGTTTCTAAATGCTCTAAAAGAGTACAGAATATCATGATTTCAGCTCCCTGCCTCTGCTGTTCTCAGCCACCTGCAAGTGCTCTTGGCCACGCCCACTTCTCCACTCTGCAGGAACAGCTGATCAGCTGCAGCAGGAAGTTTAGCGGCACAAAGGAGCAGTAGGTGCTAAATAATTTAAAATTATTAATTTTAGATACAAATTCTATGCGGCTCATCCGTCAGTCAGCCATTTGTGTGTCATGTCCAATCTTATTTTAAAAAAACGTGATAGAGCGAATCCACGATAAACGAACCACGAAGTAGCGAGGGACTGCTGTATGTAGATGTATTGTATTGTTAAATGGCACCTTTTAAAATATTCTGACACTTGTGTAAGTAGTCAGAAAGGGTATAACAACCTGATTGCATTAATCTGAACTCATGCCATTCAGTGGCTATGACACTAAATATCTCGAGCTAGCAAAATAAATAATCGTTTGGAACGTTTCCCAGGAATATTTTTAGTTGGACCCTAAACACGAGCTCTCTGCTGGAGCCTTAAGATGCTGCAGCTCCAAGGTCAAACCCCAGCGCCTGCTAAAAGCCTGTTAGATGCCAGCAAAGAGCTCACATGGGACGGCGAGGGCGTCAGCTGAATCAACAAAGAGGGATCAGCTGGCGGGTGCGAGGAATGTAAGAGACGCTGACAGCTTTGTCACAGATAACTCCAAAAGGCAGCAGCACATCCATACTTCTCTTTCAGCTCCACATTTACACTCCTGTGTGTCTGTGTTTGCACTTTTACACCACTTTTAGAGCAGTTGTGTGTTTTTAAGTCATGTTCCTCTCTGCCTTGTAGCAGGCAGCTTCCTACTAGGCTGTTTGATGTGTACATTTCAGCAGGTATCTCGTAGACGTCCATTTTGAACCAAATTCAATAGGATTTCTCATATTGGTCAGCTCTAATGTGCCGGACTGTGAGGTGACAGCGGGATAAGATGCAAACTCACCTTCTGGCTGACCATTTGTCGTCTCGTCTGCAGAAAGAAAAACAAAACGATATCAAACACGTCAAGACTTTTTGTATGTCTTCATTGCAATCAGAATTATCACCTGATTTTTCAACTGGAACATGTTGACCTTACTTTATTGATATCTGTTTAAGGCAGATTATCATTGTCACTCTAAGACATCATGCAGAATTAACTGATTATAAAAGACACCTCCCTGAGCCAGTGTTTGTTTGCCCTCTGCCTTGTCTAGTCTTATTGGCTGAATATTGGCTGCAGTGCCTTTGTGAAGCATATTTTATGAATGCATGCAGCTACAGGTAATAATGTTTTTTTTATTGGTTGAGTTCAGATGTGACAGCTTGTTTAGAGTCATGAAACCTTTCTGTTCTTGAATACAGAGATGCAAATCAAAAAGTAGTGTTCCTTGAAGGAATGCATATTGCTTGTTGCAATCTAAGCCAACGTTTTAAATTATGATCTTGCATGAAGTATATATTAGGGATGAGCTCATCCTTTTCCCACACCAAATGTTATCTCAATATTTGTAAGACTTACATGGTTATAGCCATTTTGGGGTTTGCTAAAGGTGGTATCTGATGATATTTGGGTGGATGTGGCTGAGTAATTAGAGCAGTCGTCCTCCAATGCAAGAGTTGGGGTTCGATTCCACCAGCAGTCACAATATGAACTGTCCCTGGGCAAGACATTGAACCCCTCATTGCCTTTGATGTGTGTCCCATCGGTGTATGAATGTGGTAAAGCACTGATTAGTCTTTGTATAATCTAGTAGAGTGCTGTATGAATGGGTAAATGAGGGCACAGATTGTAGAGTAAAGCTCTTTGAATATCTTGATAAGACAGAAAGGTGCTCTATAAGTACAGTCCATTTACCATATTTGGAGTCTCCAAAATGTGTCAGAATGTTTGTGTGATTTCTCACTTTCCTTGCACATGTTGCACAGGCTTGCAGTTTAGTAGCTTGAATTTGAAAAATAGCATAAATTGTGCAACAATTTTTTCTATTAATGAAGTCAAAGTTGCTGCGAGCGTCTTGAACCCATCTCCACATAGTTTCTGAACATTTTGGATTACTGGAGCTGTGTAACGACACTTGCACAAGAGCTCTCGTTTTACAGAAACCGTTGGCTACAAATACACAGAATTCAGGGAAACCACAGCGAAAAATTTGTGTGTTTTTTTTTTTACAATTTCGAGTTGCCAACTAGTTTCCAACAGTCACATTGCAGTGAGCTACTACCTTAAGGTTGAAACTGGATTATTGAGCATGCATCAGGATAATTTGTAAATGCATAGACTTTGCATAATATAGTTAAAGTAATGATTTTATTGTAATTTGTCCTTTTTATTGTTTTCAACCTCAACAAGATGGGTCTTGTTTAATAAAAGGCAAAGGTGAAAATCCAGATCTGTTTGCAAATTTAGGCAGATTAAATGTAAGAACGAAAAGGGAGTTTTTCCTTTCCACTGTTGCCATTGTACTTGCTCAGGATGAGAGACAGCGACGAAGTGAAGATTCAACAAGTCTGCTGGCTTCCTTAAATAGATAACTTTACTAATTGGTGTTTTTATGTATGTGAATGTTTCTGTAAAGTGCCCTGAGACAACTCTGTTGTGATTTGGCACTATATAAATAAACTGAATTGAACTGAATTGAATGATTATTAATCAAATTGCTTTAGCAGATTTTAAAAAGCACCATCAAACCAAAAAACAAATCTAAACGGTGATTAGGTCGTACTTGCAGAACAATGCATTGCTTGGTTAATCCCGCATTTATTCTCATTTGTCTTGGTTTGTCAAAACATTGGTAAATTTAGAATTGTTTTGTTTTATTCTTCAACAAATTATGTACTGATAAATTTTGCTTTGTAGGTTTTAGAAGGGTAACTAAAACAAAGACTCTAGTGCATGATCCAATGGATTACAGCAATAGCTGTAAAAATAATCATGTCATTTTTGTCCAGACTAAATACCTACATTAACTGGTGTAATCTGAGCCAAGCCTGCCTGTTAACAGAAATAAACTGGAACCGGCTGAGCTCAGGACAAAGGCATTAGAAACAGGAGAGGTCCGGAAAAAGAAGACCTGAGCAAGAATGAAAATGTCTTCTAGACTGGGTGCAAACAGAAAATAATTATTTAACTTGACCAGTTGGGTGTTTTCTCAGCTTTGAACTATTTGCATCAATTTGTGACGATTCCCGTTAGCTTTTCTTTTTTTTTTTTTTTTTTCGAAATTAGCCAGACTCCCACCTCGCTTCCAAATAATGCGCTGCTGGCCACTGGACCACAATCCTGCAGGGTCACATCATCTACCCGAGAGCGAGCCACGTCCGCTCTCTGTCCCATCACCGTTAAGATAATGAGAGTGGAGAAAGGTTTTGTTTTACCTCGGAGGATTTCAGTGCAGCTGACTGGGCGGCAGGTATTTGCAGCTGTTGTCTCTGCTGGCGTGCAGACAGAATGGCTCATAGTGGCTCAGATGAGCGTCAAACTGCCAGCAGCTTCACCATTTCCTTATATAAACCTTTATAATGCTCTCAAAGATGATTCAGTACTCCAACACATTTTTTTCTTAACAGCTTTTTAATTTGCTTTGACTTCTTGCATTGATATGAACTTTACACATCTAAAGGTGAGAGCTGGGGCTTGGTGACAGGTCTTCATCTATTTCCACACATAACACAAAACAACATTATTAGAGGACAGAGTCCAGGGAGAGTGACAGACGGCGGTGATAGTGAATACGATGAGGTGAAGACACAAGCCTCACTGCCATTGGCACTCTAAAGTTGTCGACGGTGCGGTCAGTCCTAGGGGATCTGTGGGAACAGAGGGGGCAGACGTTTAACAGGGAGGTGCCTGACCTCTACGCGATCCATCCTGAACGGAAAGTGGCGTTGTCTGTTTTGGTCTGAGGCACAAATGAAACGGAGGGGTTGGGCAGCAATGGAGGGAGATGGCAGAGAACAAGGCGTGGGGATTAAAAGTCTGCTCATTCTGAACTATTCCAGGGACAAGAATCCAATTCCCAAAAGGCCCACAGAAGACTCAGTGAGTCCATCAATATGAGTCGGGACCGCTTTAAGGCTTGAGAGTAGGGTGACCAAAACATGAGCACCACCCCCTCTTCTTCAGCTGTTCGGACTCATTTAAAGAACAATACTTTTCCACTCATTTATCTGCTGGTCCGGTCGCTATTTATGGGCAGTGTTTGTAGCAGGCAAGAATCTGCTGTTTCTATTTTGCTGTAGCTTTGTTTCTGGGGGGAGATCAGTGACGATGATGGCACCGGCTACACATCGTAAGGGCACCTGTGCTTTATACTAGCCATCCTGTTGATTCATAAACAACGGCCTCCAAAGCATAAATGACCCAAAGAGAACATCAGCTACATTAGTTTCATGAACATTACAACCGTGGTGCCAACTGAATTAATCAACCCAGACATAAAAGTCCTGTTTTCCAAAGGACTACAGGTATGCCTTGCTGATCCTCAATGTTTCGATTTGGTTTAGGAAAAAAAAAATCCATCAACTTTATTTTTCTCTACAAGTTACAGATATCTGTTTTTAAAGCTGCTCTAGATAGACCACTTATCCCCAGACAGATATTAAAAACCTGAATCCTCCCTTCCAAATGATAAACAATACAGTCTAGTCCCTTGGATATGTCTGAGTGGACAGCAGCTGACCTAATGAGGGGCTAAAGAGTAATATCATATTGTAATGACAGACATACGCAGATTAAGAGTATTGATGGACATGATGTTACAGATGAGAGATATTATGTCCTGAAAGAAAGGTTTGGTGTGAGGGCGGGACAATGGATGGGCGGTAGGTTGAATTTGGACTCGGGTTCTGGGCAGGGAGGAGGCAGATCTGGGATCGACAAAGGCTATTCCTGCTTTGCTGCTTTAGTCATCACAAAGGCATTTAGAAGATTTATCCTTGAATGGCTTTGCTTCATTGTAATTGCATCATCCTTCACAAGGAGGTTGATTACGTCCAGCTCAGCGCCATGCCTCTTCATCATCTTGTCTTTTTTTTTATTTGGATCCATCTGCTGTGCATACCCCTCTAGGCAACAATACCATCCATCCATAGACCCGCTAGATTCTCTTGCACCCAAGATGGCAAAGACGCATGGTTTAGTAATACAATACCACTGTCAAAGTCACTTTGATTCCTGTGCAAAAGCTGGCAGGACAAGACATTAGTATAAATAAAATCTCTAGAGATGGAACCACATCTCACTTCACTCGTTCATGAATTATTTTTGTGCCTAATAAGTTAAGACCAGCACCGCAGCATGGTCGGCTCACTTTCTGCATGCTTTACAAAAACTCCTACCTTTTTTTGTTGGCTCTGGCATCTTGAGCCGCCGGCAAAAGAAACAAACAAAGCAAAACAAAAAAAAACTGTCAGGGAATCAGGAGGTGCAGTAGACACAGTCAGATCAGTGTGATTTGAAGGTGCTGGAGCCCTCTCAGTCCACAATGGACCAGATGATAATTACAAGTCTGCAGCTGGAAAAACAACTCTTGGATCCCTCACACCCCAGCGATTGCAGCTGAGGAGGACACAAGGTTTGGAAATGTTAGTGGGGGAGAAAAGGAGGACCACTGACAGATCCAGGAGGGTGACTGGCTTCTAGAGCTTATATTGAGAGGTGGCATGCTCCTCCTCTCTGTGGTGAAGCTCTTTGCTTCAACTACCTGACTGGTTTGCAAAACATACAAATGAAGTTCGTCTCCCAGAACAGTTTTCTACGTCTTGTTCAAATTGAAAACATGTTCTTTAAATATATATATTTTAATAATTGCAGCACCTAATATTTATAATATCAGTGAAGACAAAAATACTCCTTCATGTCTCAGGGCTGCTTTGTTTTTAATTAAAGCGAAACGAGCGCAACAAAATATAATACGCCTTTAAATACAGAGATATTCCACCGAAAACGAAATTAAATGTAAATCTAAGAATTAGCTGACAAACAAGCACATTTCTCGAGTTGGACATTTTGATACATTATATTTTTATATGATATAACAAGTTTATTATCCCCATTGGAAAAAAAATGTCTTGAAAACATTACTTGTATTTTAAACATTTAAGAAGATTGAAGACATTCCTCGAAGGAACACAAACCACCTGCAGCCTTGCAAATTTTAAACAAAGACCATGTGCGTTTCGTTAGCACTCTCAGCTACTACCACTTCAAATTTGAGCTCCGTATTGGTAAAATTGACAGAGTTATATCCATTTTTGCATTGGTTTATTAGTTCTAGGTGTATTTTGATGATTACTAATGAGAATTTATAAATAATTTTAAATAGACGTGTTTATGGGATAGTGTGCTAAATGACAAACAGGCAGTTGCATTGAAGCCTGGATCAGGATTTATTTGACTTTTCATGAATTACTTGTGAATAAATATTAAACTTATTGAACAAAGTTCACCAACAGGTAAAATACTAAGCATTTGTCTTTTCCATTTGAGTTTTGGCGATATCCCTTTAAGACATGTTCATTTGGGAGGTGAATGACAAATTAGGAGGGTGGGATATAAATTGAAAATGTGTTGTCATTGTCACAAGTTTGAGGATGAGGTATGATTCTCCTGCTGTCCTGGAATAATCTCAGACGACAAGCAGCGTGTTCTCAGAGCATCTGTTGGCTTGTTTTAAGAGAAAAGTTACCTTTGACCAGCAGAGAGCCGATCCTGATCCCAGAGATCGATTTAATCCAGAGAGAATGCTGTTCAAGAACAGCAGGCTTGAACCTGGCAAATAAAAGCTGGAGGGATGCCTGATGGGTGGCCTATACTTAGAAAGTTGTTATAAACCTTGACATTTGACACGTGCATCTCACATGAAGTTGTTTTTTGTTGTAAAATATACAACTAAAGTGGCTGCTTTGTCTTTAAAACTCATTAGTTCTTCTGAAACTTGGGTGCAGTCTTGAAGTGAAGTGATGAGCACAGACTATGTTTTTAAATGTACCTACGTAGCTAAGATCCTCCTGAAATTCTTGTCCGTGTTGGGATGGAAATGACCTTAAACAGGTACCATTGATCGATCAGACGACCCAGCAGTTTGTTTAAGACAAGTGGCAGCGCTGCTTAATAGAGATTTACCTGTACTGAGGCTTTTAATTAAAAGGACACCCCCAACTGAAACAATCACCTTTGTTATTTAGTTTGTTTCTTTTCTTGGTAACACACCCTCCACTCCCACAGCTCAGTTTGCCCATTTATGACAAGAGGTGGGCTCCAGCAGTAAACGCTCAGCTTAGGGAGGTGTCACATGGGCCCTCGACAAAGAACACAAAACCATTTGGTCTTGCCGGGGACGCCAGGGTGTTGACATCACTGAGGCGGTTTGGACATGAGATCACAGCATACGGACAGAATGTGAAGCATTGTGAAGGAGAACACTGACACCCTCTGGTTTTTAAAACACTCGCCGACAAGTCAGAGGCACATCAGAGCACACAATTAAAGGTAGTTTCATTTTCCAGTTGACATGTGTATTATAAAATAAACTAATATACATTTTAAACATTTTTAAGAAACACTTCTTAATTATTACTTTTACCCAGTTTCCAGATCCAAACACTTATGATTCATCATGTTATGACTGTTAAACTATTTTATTTTCTATTCTATCCCCCTACTAGACCAGGGGTTTGCAATAGAGCTGTCATTTCTAACCTGAGCCCAAAGCCCGCCCGACCCGGATTTGGGCCTGGCCAGGCCATAATAATGTGCTGGATGAGCGGGCCGCGTCGGTGTCAGTCTTTTTGATTGTGCCAGCGGATTAATCACTATCCAATTATATGACAACATAGTTTGCCATACAATCCAATTATATGGCAACATGACTTGCTATACATTACAATTATATGGCAACATGACTTGTCATACAATCACCTGCCGCATGCGGCCATTTGACCGTGAGCTGACCAGCCTTGAAAGAGATAAAAAAACTTCAGCTAAGCTTCGGATGGGACTACCGGTACTGCCAGGAAGCAATCCATCGGTTTTGGACCTGTAATTACTGTTAATTCGTTGGGTCGGGTGGGGTTCGGAAAAGATGGCTACGGGCTGTGGCCAGGTCAGATCAAATTTTTTGGGCCCGAATGCAACTGTAGTCTGCAACGCTCTGGAGCCACATGCAGCTCTTTGGTCCCTCTGCAGCAGCTCTTTCAAGCTTTGACCAAAACTGACATAACACTGATTTTTATTGGTTGTTATAACGACTAAAAGGGCTAATTTTAGCAGCTTTCCTAAAATTTATTTTGCAAATATGTGAATACTAGAAACATTACGAGTTCAGCATATTCACTTTCACTTTACGCTGTATTTCTTCAAAGTAGGATACTTATTTTTTTTCTACAGTTAATAAAATCACATAGTTTATTGTTTTAGTTTTTGGAAATTTGGCAAAAACTATATATATTTTCCTTCTTTACAAGAATCTCGTCTTTTATTTTGTCTTAAAATGTAAAAATATCAATAAATGTTAAAAATCATTAGATATTTTTTGCTTTATAATGCCACCCCTACTGGCCAAAAAAGTGCCCTCCAACAAAATTAAAGTGGACTGCAAGCCACCAGTTGAGAATCACAGTTGCTACTCTGGACACGTTTAATGCAGTGAACAAAGGGGCAGAAATGAATCTTTTGATCTTAAAGGTTGTACTAGACAATCAATAATCATGTTCAACTAGGATTATTTTGTTTTCGCTAAGAAATATAAACGCTAGTATCTGTAGTTTCACTGACAATGACTGATTTTACTTCTGTATGTGACAAAAACACAAGAAATCTGTAGAAACAAAGGGTTTAATTTGCACCTTAAACTGAGGATCAGCTCTTAAAATAGGAAGCATGAATGTGGAGAGGCTAAAACAGGAAAAAAATCAATCGCAAAAAGGAAAAATATGCTCTAAATTATGAAAGAGCCTTGGTTGAACTGCCTGTAGTTCTTCTAAATGCTTGTGTGCACCAATCATTTTTTGATGCCACCTCTTAACTCTGCAACATTTTCCCCATTTTTTTTTCCAATGAGCTCTTTGCTCACATGTTTATTTCTTGTTTAAAGGGATTTTAAGTTGAAGGATTAGCTCAAACCACAGCAGAAAGGGTTTATACCTTAAGTCTGACTTAAATGTCAGCCACTTTACGTTAACGCTGTAAATATCTAACTTTATTTTAGATGGGACTTGTGACTTCTAGCAAAATGCTAGTACAGTAGTGAGAGTGAAATCTGAAAGAAAAGTTATAAAAATCTACAAAACTTGTCCGTGAAACCTCTGCAGGGACATCAGAGTGTCTCGGCTGAACTGGTAGGTGAGCTTTTTCTTCACTTTGAAGATGTGTCCAGACCGGGCATAGTTCCTGAGAGCCCGGGACATCTTCTGGTAGGTCATGGGCCTCTTGTTACCCTTCCTCTGCCCCCACAGCGCTGCCACCTGGTCCTTATTCCTGGAGGAAAAGCGGAAAACCCCTGCCGCTGCTGGCACCCAGGACAAACAGTGGGCCATGCTCGGATCCTCCAACATCTCAAACAGGAAGTGGAAAAGTCGCAGCTTTCTACCTGCAGGCATGGAGCGAGCTGTCACACATGATGGAGGGGGATTTAAAGAGACGCTTACAATACACTACGTGCCAAAGCAGTTATTGGTGGTTACAGTTAATCATTTCTTCAACTACAGCAATTCCCAGAAAAATCTCATCAGTGATGGGAACTGTTTAGTGCAGAGACTAAAGTGGCAACCACTGTGGTTATCTGATAGATATGTAAAATAAACCACTATGCTAAGCCACGCTCAGCTTCATTGTGTTTTACAGTAAAGGGCAGGTCTTATTTGCTCTCATGGCATTGTTTCCCTCAGGCTTAGAGCAACGATGACAATAACAGTATCTAATGGCCAAAAAAAGGAGAACTCACCTCTCCCCGCTGCTGCGGCTGGGTGTTTTGCTGATTGTCTTGTTGATACAAAGTGTGGCAGTGACCCGTGCTCAGACGATGTTGCTGTTGAGTTTTGGCTGCAGGCTGATTGGACATTGTGTACTAGGCAGGTCTGAAAAGCAGGTTTGCTGTCCTTTGATGGAGCATTAAAACATGAACAGCATCGTGTCAGACTGCATGTGCATGTCTTTGAAAGCAACCCTTCTGGACTTACCTGTGGCTCGAAGCATGGCCAGTCACATGTTTGATTCACAGACACAGGTAGCTCATGCACAGGCACAGCTGATGGAAAAAAGGAGAAGTATTTTCAAAAGACTGCATGAATTACACCAAATTATTTTTTTCCATCCTTTTCGTTTTACCATTTTCCGCAGCGCTTTGTCTGTAGTACTCCTCCAGGAACTCTAAGATAACTTCCAAATCAGACTGAGTCTCCTGGAAAGAATCAAATCAAATTTAAAAAAAAGTCACCATTAGCTTTGAACATTAAGGTGTTTGAGGGAATTGCAAAGCTGCAGTTGTGCTGTTTACCATCCCTGATGAGTATTTAATCCAGTTTAGGTCCTGCAGATGGAGAGGATTCAACACAACTGGGATGCTGAGGTCCTGGGACTCCTCTTATACCCCACCTCATCTGTGCAGGTTCTCTGCAAACGTTTTCTATACCTCAGGCTGTCTGGAACAATGACCACCAAGACCACAAAACCCCGACACCAGCGCCAGTTAACCCATCAACAAAGCCTCCCAGGGCTGACCACATCCTCCCAGTTGAGGTAGATAAGACCCAACTGGAGGCAACTTTTACACAGAGCTCTCGTTTCAGGAAAAAACACACTTGCTGGCATATTTTTCCTCACAGGATGTGTCTGAAGTTTATATTTTATGTGCGTGATGTAATATTTCATTACACGGTAAACAAATGTTTAAGTCAAGTCAAGTCATATTTATTTATAGAGCACATTTAAAACAGAAACTGTTACCAAAGTGCTTAACAAAAATATCACAACATCAAATAAAAAGCAGCAAGATATATTTACAGCACATGGAATAAAAATATAAAACAGAAAACGTAATTAGAAACAATGAAATACTAAATCAGATCATGTTGTGTCAAAAGTCAAGGAAATAATAACAAAAAGCATAAACTCAGTCAGAAACAATGAAATACTAAATCAGATCAGATGACCTTGTGTTAAATAGGAATAATAACAAAAGCATAAACAGAATCAGCATCAATGAAAAACCAGATCTAAAGCTGATCACCCTGTGTTAAATGTCAGTGAGTATAGATGTGTTTTTAGGAGAGATTTAAAAGCAGAGACTGAGGTGGCCTGTCGAATGTTGATGGGCAGATTGTTCCAAAGTTTAGGCCCCACGACTGAAAATGCTCGATCTCCTCTGAGCTTCAGCCTGGTTTTTGGTACGGCCAAAAGCAGCTGATGTGATGATCTCAAAGCCCGAGAAGGAGCATAAGGATGAAGAAGGTCAGAGAGGTATGATGGTGCAAGGCCGTTAATGCACTTAAATGTCAGCAGGAGAATTTTAAAATCAACTCTGACACGCACAGGAAGCCAGTGAAGGGAGGACAGAACCGGAGTAATGTGCTCAAACCTGTGAGTTCCTGTTAGTAGCCGAGCTGCAGCATTTTGTACGAGCTGGAGACGTGAAAGTGAAGCCTGACTAATCCCAACATAAAGTGAGTTACAGTAGTCCAGCCGGGTTGCAATAAATGCATGGACTAGTTTTTCAAGGTCGGATCTGGACAGAACGGACTTAAGCTTTGCGATCTGCCTTAGCTGAAAGAAGCTTTTTTGTAGAACAGAGCTGATCTGTTTATTAAACTTAAAGTCCAAGTCTAACACTACCCCGAGATTGGTAACCGACTGCTTTAGATGTGGCTGAAGGGAGTGCAGGTTTACAGGATCAGTGACAGTGGCAGAGCTAGGGTTAAACACAATGACCTCAGTCTTCTGATCATTAAAACTTGAGAAGTTCGCAGCCATCCAAGTCTTGATGTCATCAAGACATTTTAGCAAAGGGTGGATGGAGCAGGAACTGTTTGGTTTTAAAGGCAGATAAATCTGAGAATCATCGGCGTAACAATGAAACGAAATACCATGCTTCCTCAGGATGGACCCCAAGAGGAGCAGATACAATGAGAACAGAAGGGGTCCAAGAATGGAGCCTTGTGGGACCCCACAAGAAAGTGGGACAGAAGCAGATAAATGATTGTCAAAGCTAACACAAAAACTCCTGTCACCCAGATACGAACGGAACCATTCTAGCGCCACCCCTGTAATCCCAATTTAAGTTGGAATTGAAAACGTGGCGGCAAGCAACTTGGTAAAACTCGTTTATTTGATCGTGTTCAAGAGATTTAACAAGAAATATAAAAATATTTATTAATACACAACACATATAAACACAGTAAATAGAAGATAATTTGAACAATCAAAATGTAATTTTTAAGGAACATTTATAAACAACTTAAATTGTTACTTTCACAGTTAAATCTTATCAGTGTCACCTCTAATTTCTTTAAATATAAAAAATTGCCACAACATTTTGAACATCTACAATTTTGCATATGAAGTATTTTAAAAAAAAATTCATTATAATAAAAACATTTTGAATAATCGATTATATTGTTAATGTTAAAGTGGATGTAAACATTATTTTGGAATCAGTGCTAACCAGAAGATTTACGATTCATTTCTGTATTTGAGCACCTGATAAATATCAAAATGTTGAACTGATTGTTCTCAGATTTTTACTACATGTAAAGGATTTTTCAAAAGGTTAACCTTTTAGCAAAATAATAAATGGTTTACAGTTGAATATATAAAGAGTACCGGTAACGCAATCATCTGTGAGAGCAGTGTAGTCATTAAAAAACTTGTATTTACAATGAATTAAAAAAATTCAGTTGGAAAAATAACTATAAACATTTACAAGTAATTTCGTGGCTCTTCAAAATCTGGCCTCAATCATGCAAACAAACAGCAGGTGTTGTATAGAAATATGTGACCATTTTACATAAATTTACACAGGATTTTTCTCATATTTACAGATTATTTACAGAAAATGCTGACGTTTTGGGAATTTGTTGCTGAAGGCTGCTGCTATTTTGCAAAATAAGTTACAACATGCAGGAACTCCAGAAAGCTTCCAGGGAATAAAAAAAATAATAAAAATCTTTACATCAAACGTTTGGCGAATCAGAGTTTGGTCAAGGTGTGTGAGCCCAGGTCGTAGTCTTCCTGCAGCTGGTAGTATCCGTACCAGCTGTGCCAGTCCGTTGGTGCAGAGCTGCAGTAGGTCTGCTCGGAGACCTTCTCCTGCTGGCTGTGCACTTCCTCCTGCGTGGGCTGGCAGGGCAGGCGCACGGGCACCTGTGCAGAGCCGAGCCTGTGCAGGATGTCCGGGTTGAACTGGTAGGTGAGTTTGCGGCGCACCTTGACGATCTCGCCTGTGCGGCTGTAGTTCCTCAGCGCTCTCGCCATTTTCTGATAGGTCATGGTCTTGCGGTTGCCCTTGCGCTGGCCCCAGCACTCTGCCAGCTTCTCCTTGTTCTTGGAGATGAAGTGGAACGTGCCGTTGCCGCTGTCCGTCCACTGTATTGAGTCGCACATGCTGGGATCATTCAGAGCTTCATGGAGGTATTCGTACAGCCTCAGCTTCTTACGGCCTGAGCAAACGCAGTAATCTCATTTAGTATTGGGGTAAACACACAAATATGACTTCCAACAAATCTTAACATTGTCACCTTTGCTGTTTCTCTGTGGTGGAAGGATGGAGTAGAAATGTAGGGGCTCATTCTGCACCGAGTGGCTCAGGGAGACATCAGGCATGACCTGAGGCCAGGACTGCTGCTGGATGGTTAAAGATTTAAAGTAAACCCTTCTTCCTTGTGTCAGTCATGCGAACTTACAATTCTGATTGTTTGCAGTACTTACAGTTGTGTCACTCCAGTCATACGCTGGAGCTGAGATATTGGACGGGTGTGTGATATGGCAGCAGGAGTCCTGACACTGGACAGGCGACTGCTGGCTAACCAGGGTCTCGTAATATTTGTAATCTGAGATAAAAAGAGACTTCGTCAAATATCACTTATAAAATGTGGGGAAAAATGCAACAAATATTGAACACGTACCTGGTTCGTAGTATGGATTGTGCGAATGCTGCTCAATCACATCTATTGCGTCCTGAAAGTGTTGGTTGATGTCGTGATCTAAAGATGCCTGGAACAAACAGGAAAATAATTGAAAACTCGTTCAATAAGTTGTATTTTAAATCTTACTTTCCCCTAACTTAGTGACAGTGCCTCACCAGCTTATATGTCTGAGCGTTCCCCTCACTTGAGGCCATTTCTCTCCTCAACAAGCGAACGCTGCCGCTCGTGTGCAGGTGCACATCTTGCACAGGTGTATATATACGACGCAGAAGTCCAACACCTGTTCACGGCTCCACCACGGCAGAGAGAGGGCCAGTCGATTTAAATGCATTAATGTCACACACTTCTTCTTTCCTGGAAGCAGAGATGAGATCTGAGCATCGCTCTCTCTCAAATTGTTAAGATCACAATCTGCGAACAACAGAAGCTCTTTTACTGCATGCTCAAACCTGGAATACCACTAATTCTCAGTCTGACCTGAGAATTTGCATACTGGGCCCATGATTCATATCTAATACACACAAAATGATGAGGGATGTGCAGTTAGGTACTGTAATTTTTTATATATTTTTTACGTAATCCTCTTTGGTTTTTGGTAATTTGCAAAGAAAAGAAAATATATATACTTGCATAAAATACTTTTTTTTATTAAGTAGATTTTTACTTAATGCTCAACTTTGAACTAATATATGTTTTTACTCAGATGTGTGTGCTTCTAATCCCCAAATTCTGCAATAATGCTGAAGAAAAGTGTTGAACTAACATAAACGCATGTATTTGCAGAGGTGCAATTTGGGCTCAACGCCGAGCTGAGGGCAAATAAAAAACAAGATAAAAGTTACGAGTGCCTAATTTACCTAAATACTGTCAACACAGCTTTGTGAAGATGCGATTGTATAAGTTAATGGTTAATATTTGGAGGGTGCTACTATAAAACCAGTCTGAGTGTTACTTTCTCCATCAAAGCCAGTCCTCCTCTGTTTAAATATGCACAGGTTTCTTTTTTTTTTTGAGAAGTTATTTATCTCTGGGCCGCAGTTTTAAATATCAACTGACAAGTTCCTGAAGTTCCCCTTTCAGCTCAGTAAAAAGTGTGATGGCAGAGCAGGTCTGGGCTGAGAATGGATTAGAGCGTAAATTAATGGTTACATAATTGGCCTTTATCACGACTCCATGGGCATGTGATGGGATTTATATATTAATATACTATTTCAATTTGACAATGTAAAATGTTTCTTTTTTTTGTGCGTGTGTTTAAAAAGCCCCTTGCGTCAGAAGATGACCATATTGTGTGTGTGTTTGGTGTGCGTAATCTTACAAACATGCATTTAAGCGTGTGTTCTGCATGTGTTTCCTGTCTGTGCAACAAGCTGATAAAAACAAAGAACCACAAACCTTGTCCCCTCTTCCCACTCCTTCTTTCCCTGTTTCCATTCAGGGTGAAGCTCCATAAATTAGAGACCACAAGCTGTCGGGCTGCAGTTGAAGCCTGACAGATGGGTGCTGCTGTTGGCTCTGGGTGGGATGAGGAATTTACTCCATCAGTCTAGGGTTTGCCTCTTTACTTATTATTATTATTTGTTCTTTAGCGTTATATAATCGGTTATTATGTTTCAGCGTTTAAATTTCCTGTTTACCTAAAAGTGATTGAACTATATCACGTGATGCAACCAGGAATTATCAGATGCTTTTTTTAAAAAAATACAAAGTCATTCAAATTCAATTTAAATTTGCTTTACATAAAAAAATTATATTTTCTCTTTAATAATTATACGACAAACATCTCCCTTTTTTATTTTCAATGTCTGCAAGTTCATTAGGTAAAAAGTGAAATATTTAAGCACTCAGAAATCCACCTGCATTCTATTTATTATGTAACCCAAAATCAGGAAGCATTCGGTGGAAAAAGGGGAATGCAATCTCAAAAAACGTACTGATTTTTGCCTTTGTAAAAACCCATATGTTGTTTTATTTCAGGCCTACAAGACGTGCATGTGATGGGAACAAGTTAGTACTAATGATGTGCTAATGTAAAACCAAACAAATGTTTATTCAAACGGTTAGACATTAACTATCATTTCGTACAAAAGCTTTATTTTATTTATTTTTTCAAGGGATTAAGAATGTGCAAAGCACAGGGGCTGCAGTGGATTGGCGCTCCATGCTGTGGTTTTGTAATCCTGAAGCTGCAGGGAGAGCATCCGTCGAAAAACAATTGCAAAATCTTTTATGCGAGTTTGCTCGCTGTTTCAAAAAAAAAAAACAAAAAAAAATCTTCTCAAAGAAAGTTTACACATTTTTGCTGGTACAATTCAATTCGGTTCATTTAAATAGTGCTAAATCATAATAGAAGTCGTCTCAGGGCACTGAACAGAAACATTCATATATAAAATAATAATAATTTAACATTACTTATCTGAGGAGCAGACTGCTTTGAATTTAACTCCATCACAGAACTCTCATTGTGAGCAAGAATGAAGGCGACAGTGGAAAGGAAAAACTCCCTCATGAGGAAAAAACCTTTAGCAGAACCAGGCTCAGGACAAGAGGTCATCTGCTTTGACCGGCTGGGTTTGAGAAGAACAGATACACAATGGCAGGTCAAGAATCACATGTTAAAATAGAAATAGTATCAAATGAAAACTATTCAATTTTAGCAATTCATTTAAGGAAATGAGGTCAATTTGTCCTCAAGTAAGCCTATAGCAGCATAACAAGCCAACCCTAACTATAGGATTTATCAAAAAGGAAAGTCTTAATCCCAGTCTTAAAACTGGACAATGTGTCAGCCTCACGGACAGAAACTGGAAGTTGGTTCCACAAGAGAGGAGCCTGATAACTGGAAGATCTTCCTCCCATTCTGCTTTTGGAAACTCTAGGAACTGCAAGTAAGCCTGCAGTCTGAGAGCAAAGTGCTCTGTTAGGAAAATATGAAACAATAAGAGCTCTAATATAAGATGGAGCTAGGTTGTTGAGAGCTTTGTAGGTTAGAAGTACGATTTTGAATTCAATTCTGGATTTGACAGGGAGCCATTGGAGAGAAGCTAAAACTGGAGAGATATGATCTCTCCCACTAACTCCAGTTAAGACTCTGGCAACACAATATCATTAAACAAGTCATAAATGCAAGATAAAAGTTTCTTTAACAACATGGACAAAAAATTGCTTTGGGAAAATTGTGTCAAGCATGATCATTATGAGTAACATGCATAAACCCCACATGCACTGCAAAAAACGTGTTTTCTTCAGAGGCAACATTGACTCTTCTGGGATTTGAGATGGATAACAAATAAAAAGATGTGATCAAATTAATCTTTCCTTTAGATTTTGTTTAGGAATAAAAGGGTATTATATCTCCTGAGCCAAAGGCAAAATGGACCATCCAGGTCTACCAGCCATAAGTACAGGTCCAGGAATCTTCTAATTACAGCATTCATGCAGAAAAGCAAATGGTTGCTTGTCTCGTTTGTCTCTACCCTGTAATGGACTTGCGATGTGTTCAGGGTGTACCCCGCCTCTCGCACCGTGACTGCTGGAGATAAGCACCAGCTGCCTCGTGACTCGGAAAGGAAAAGCCAGTGAAGAAATTGAGTGGATGGATGCAGAAAAGCACAGAAGTCAGGAAAGAAGTGAACTCCCGAAGACATTTGCTTCTTTCCTGTTTGTGTAAAGACTTCGGTTCTGCTGTTAAATAAACAAGAAGCCTGTTCTTAGCTCGTCCAGCTCTAAAGCAGTGCATCAAATCATCATTTCTAATCATCAAACAGGAACATGTGCTATCAGACACTCCCTTCTGTCGTTTACTGATAGATTTCAGTTTCTCATGTTTTACTGAGTTATATTTTGTTAAAAATCTTTAAACCTGGAATGGAAAGTTTGATGATTTGCAAATGGAACATATGAATTAATAAAGACCCATTTCTAAAATAAATATCAAACATCCCAGTCAACTTTTCTTTGACTTTTGTTGTGTTGTAAAGTGGGAAATGTCAATAAAAAAAAAAATTTTATTTTATTTTTTGTAATTGCTTTTTGAGATATTGACTTGTTGAAGAGAAATTGGGGTAGGCTCTTAACTGTACAATTACCATTACAGATTATGTTCATCTTTTGAACTAACTGGTTTGGTTAATTCATTCAAACTTTATTTACAAAATGAAAAAAAAGAAAAATGCACGTTCACGATTTTAAAGCACGATCAAAACGACTTCTCACTGGGACCTCCATTAAATGTTTCTACAAACAGAATTTAAAACCTGGCCTGCAGACACATCTGTGGAGGAAATGATAATATCTGTAGAACTGACAGCTTCTAACGGTACCCAATAAAAAATGTTTGGCAATGACGGCACAATTTAAAACAGGATTACAGGAAGTAGAAAGACACCTGAAACTCTGATTGTCAGTGCAATATGAGATTCTGTTGGGAGTGTCTCATGTCAGATCACATTCTTAGGTCAGGTCTGATGCAATATTCAGGTTCTGACAAAGGTTGGTACCTTGTGTGCTGATAAATGATTGTGACCATATAAACTTCCACTCATGTCAGGTTATAGCAGTAGGAGCTGTCTAAATGTCTTGGTATTTTTGTTTGAAATTCCATCCATCCATCCATTCTTTATCTTTACCCACTTCTTTCTTTTCGGGTCTTGGGGTCACTGGTCACAGCTACCACTGTGTGAGAGATGGGGGGACACCGTGGAAAGGTCTCCAGTCCATCACAGAGCCAATAGAGACAAACAACCATATGAAGATCTGGGGTCTATCCATCCATCTATCTATACAATTTATATTTTTTAAGCTGTAATCTATTCTATTGCATTCCTTTCTGATCCATCCATCATTCCATTCATTCATCCATCGGACATGCCCATAAAACCTATCGGGAGATGTCAGAGGGCATCCAACTCTGGTGCCAGCAGCTGCCGTAATTCCAGCTCCAATAGCGTATTTTAAAATTGCTGCAGTTAAAAAGCTCGTAGTTGATTCTCTGGATTGAGCTGATGGTCCTCTGTGAGGTGAGCCACCGTCCGTCCCGGCCCCTACCTCTCGGTGCCCCCTCGATGCTCTTGGCTAAGTTTTCTGCGGGGTCCGAAGCGTTTACTTAGAAAAAAATTAGAGTACTGCTTTGAACAGCAGGCCTAGTTGCCTGAATACCACAGCTAGGAATAATGGAATAGGACTCTGGTTCTATTTTGTGGGTTTTATCCTCTGAACTGGGGCCATGATTAAGAGGGACGG